ACAAACATTTTTATTCTATAAAATACATTGAATACCATAAATGTGATGTAGTTTCCTATTTGTAACTTGCAAATAATAATAATTGATAGTTAATTCTGGAAAATAAAAAAATAGTGATCGCATTCATAAACCTGTTGTCAAAACAGCAACACGGGTGTAAGGGTTTATTGTTTCAGAGGCTAGAGTGTTTCAAGGACAAAGTGCTGGGCCTCCCGGTTTAGGGGGGAGGGGTGGTGGTGAGACTGCAAGAAGGGAGGAAACTGTTTTGGCTATTTATTGATTAGTTCCCCGACCCTTCTAGATAACAAAACTGAGTGACAGTGTTAATTCATAGTGTTCTTTATTTCATAACTTGTTTACTTTGTGTGTTATTCTATTAATTTTAGTGTTTGGTCTATTTCCTCCATATGTCAATTATATCTTTTTTAATATATAAGTTTACTTTTTACTTGGTCTCTCCACCTTTTTGGATCCAAACCAACTATGTTCTTTTTTTATTAATACAATTGATAAAACTAAAATATTTTGTGCATGAAAACAACAAGAATAATCACCGTGTTCTTAAATTTATTTTGTATTTATTTATACAAAATAGAATAAATATTCATAGTAGTTACAATATACATAATAATGTAATCGACTTGCTAGTTGTTTTGTCGTCATTCAAGGTCGCGTTGCTGTTCTGTTATGAAAGACAATCTGATTGTATTGTCTCAGTCTGCACTGCATATCTCGTCAGGCCTTCAATTATCCTTTTATTTCTTGCATCTTAATTTAGTTCAGTTCAGTTCTTATCGTGATTATCTACTATTTCATGGCTTGACAATTCTCAATGTTTTTAAACATATTAAAATAAAATTGTGTTTATTTAAAACTTGACTGAAAAATTATTATTATGCACTTTTTTAAGAAAAAAAAGTTTAATAATTTAGATAAAGCGACGCTAGAAAAAGCTCGGCTCAAAAAAGCTCGAGCTCGAAAATTTTTGAAAAAGCTCGGCTCGGCTCGGCTCGAGGTTGAAAATCACTATTCGCACACCCCTACCTTACGGTCACAATATATCTCTGGCACCAACCCAACTAAACTAGTTCAATGCACAGCTGCATTGTATTATATTCACAGCAGTCTGGTTTATAAACTAAAACTAAAATAACACAATGTGGTCAATGTCAGATTAACTAATGAAAAATAAACTCGAGAAACTTTCAACAAAGCAAGCTAAACAACAATGTATCATCAATCTTGCTTCATTGAAAAGTTTTGTTTGAAGTTGTTTAGCAATATTTCTGTAAACTTTCAACTATATTTTTAATCGCTTGAAACCACAAACTCTGTTACTGCTAGTTCATTTTTCATCGGTCGTTCTTTTTCCTCTGTTTTACGCTGTGAATGTCATAGCTTCAAGTAGATTTTTAACTTTGTTTCACCAATTTCTATAAGTAAAGTCCTGACTATAATTTATCACAATTTCACTAAACCTTTGACTTTTTTAGATACCAGATTAGATATTTTATATAGCCAATTTATTCAACTAGAATACAGTTCAATGAGCCACATACAGTGTGCTACATTTAAATTATACAGTATTTTCTCTCTTAATTCTCGATACTTTGATCACTATGTATTAATAGGGCCATTATGCTGACTTGGATCATTGGCCTTTTAATAAATGATCCCAACTAAATAAACAGCTGATCTTAGTCAGTAGCTTCGCAGATCGTCTCACCACCCACACTCATCTTGGATAGCCAAGAGATGTAGTTACTGATCTCGTATTACGTAGTAACTGGCCTACTTTAAACTGTGAGCTAGGAAATATTTACTCAGGGACGCCGCAAAAAATGGGCCCTATGAGCCTTGGCCCAGAGGTGCAAGAGGTTTTAGGTTTGTTAGGAGCACAAGGAAGAGAAAAAGGAAGGGTAGGTGGAGAGGGGCACAACTATCTTTTGGGCCGACAGCGCATCACATGCAAACCACAAGCCTGTAATTACTTCAACTTATATACAGATTTCAAGTAAGAAATAACTGCAAACATATATTAATTAAAAACATATGTGTACGGTATTGAAATTAGTAGATTTTCAAGCTCAAAGACGCCAACTCTATGATTTATCTGCAAAAGTGAAATATATCTTCGCGTGAACTTGCAGCTGACATATCTATTTACGTTCCGAGACAGCTCGGAGGGATGAATAGGAAGGAGATGTGAATGGAAGCCATTTGCGCACGGACGGAATCCTAGCAATAAAGCATGTGGCAATATTGAGCTCTCAGCTGAGCCAGCAGACTATTGTCAGTTCTAGCTGTCAATACTGATATCCGTAGTGTAAACGATGTTTGATGGCGGCTTTTATCCTTCAATTTGAATCTACTTACTTTTAGGAAGTCTGGAGTTTGCTATTCCAAATCTTGTATGAAACATGGACGTGGCTGGTATAGAGGTAATGGAACTTCTCTCAAGAAGGTCTGGGTTCAAATCCTGTTGAATACAAATGGATATTAGCTATATGAATTAACCATATAATTTGTAGCACACTATGGTATAGGTCTATCCGCAAAACATTTAAGATTCTAAAGCAAAAGGATCTTTCTCTCTACTGTAAAACTCCCTCCTCTTAAGAGGGTTCCATCCGCCCGCTGTTTACCATGTAAACATGGTCCTACAATAAGAACCTCCTGGCATTATTATAGTGTTTATCGAGTTGAAACTGTAAAAAATTAACAAAGATCTTAACTATGCACTGGCTGAACTGAAACTTCGTAATTGTTTACAAAATTTCATTTGGAAAATCCATAAAAGTAGGCCTAGTCTTTTTCATGCGATTTTAGCTTCTAAATAATAGTTAAAACATTATTTTGGCTCCACCCATTGCAAGTTCTGATATGTTAAGAGCACAAAAACAAGCACACAATCATTGGAAACAAATTTGTTTTAGAATTTTGGGAGCTTGTACCATAGATGCATTAGAACCTGGTAGAACCCTCTTAACGTCAACAACACTTATTATTTAGTATGAAGTACAAGTTTTAAAAGTAATCTCCAATTCTCAGCTTATTTTCAAGAGTAAAAACATGATTTTGCTATAGGCCCTACATTAGTGACAAAATATAATTAAACAAAACATTAGACCGAAGATTGTAGTAGTGGTCACTTGTGAATGAAAAGCAAATAAAGAACACATATTTACCAATTGAATTTCGGTTACATGAAAAGAGTCAGTTGGTCAGGGACAATTGAAGATTGAAAAGTTGATTGGGAATCAAATAAGCACATAAAACATTGATAGATATGGGATTCAGGGTTGCAAAAGATATTTTTTTGCAGGGGAGTTATAAAGCTGAAAAGTATTTTCATTATTCTTTTTCATCTTACTTACATTCGCCTCTCCTCTGAATGCCTACCCATCCGATCCAGATTGAGTTGAATCATGAATGTGAGCTAGAAATTAATGGTGAATGACTAAATTAAATTTACAGCTTTATATCTTAAACCAAAATAATTAATTACATCCTGTTACCATTAGCTCATATAGGTACTGAAAAATAAGTTCTTAGCTAACAGATTTATTTTATCGCTACATTTGTAAATGACGAGGAATTAAAAGCACTGTAGGGATTATTTAATGAGTTGAGTTTTCTCATTTTGTAAGTAAAATAAGACCTTTCACTGCATTCTTTCTGACACCGTTTTGTTCCTTAGTGAAAACTGGAAATTAAAACATAGGCTAACAGTAAAATTAGATAATTTTTAAACCTTTTTACAGTAAACTAACTTACTTGTAAGCATTTTTTAAATGAGAAACAATCTTTTAATAGGTACATCCTTCTAGCTTCAAATTTTGTTCAATAATGAGCACTTATAGTTATACTTTTCTGCACAAATTATGAAGAAGTATATCCTATACTCTTATGAACAATGTATGCTTGTATGTATGCTTACACAAAGATCTTGAAAACGGCATCAATGATTTCCTTCAAATTTTGTAAACAGTTTATTTCTGGCCTAAAAACTTGATTGACGACAGCCACTACCTCAGGAAAATTTGTATTTCACTGCACAACTCATTTGAAAATTTTTAAATTTAACATTGGTTTTATGGGTTGCCAAGTAACTATGTTGGTTTAACAAAATAACAAGAAAAGAGTAAACAAAAGATCATTTGTTAATAACAAGCCATCCTCAGTATACTAGCAAATTATAATATACAGTACAAAGGAAAAAAAACATCAGCTGTTACTATTGATTGAACAAAGATTACACCGAATATTACTCGATATAAGGGAAAATAGTTTTGATCAAATACTTTGATCATTTTACTTGGCTCTCTCCTACCAAAACTTAATCCCCGAAGTACTGAGGCAATTATTAGCAAACTTTATTATAACACAGTTCAACCAATGTTTAATAATATATTTATTTGATATAAATTAGAATGTAAACAAACATGCTGTTTTAATTTAAACAAACTGTGAAAACAATGTTTATGTAGACTATTATTGCCAGGTTAAAATTTCCATTATAACTAGGGTTGCTTTCAGAGAGGTGAAAGCCAGTTGAGCGGAACAAACGTGATTTGATATTTGTATAAGTAACTAAATGTAAAAAAGTCAATAGATGTACTAATGCTGGTTTTATTGTTTAAAATTATAATAATTCAGATTTGTTTTTACTACATCTTGTTATTCAGATACCTCTTCCAAAAGTACATTATGGTAGTTTTGACCAGGAAAATATTATCAGTTAATTTGGTGCAACACAAATAAACAACTCGATCAATTACCTATAACCATAGATAAAACATACTCCCTTAGATAACCTACACTTTACCTTCCTAATCTAACCTTACTTCAAAACACTTAATCTAGTCACGAATACTCATAAACCCCGACCTACCTTCCCCACATGCCTAAATTAGATCAGTGTTCAATCTGCGTTTTATTAATAAGTGTAATAACTTACTGCACCGTCGATGTAATTCAACATAATATAACCTGTGATGTATTATCGGATTAAATATCGATTTCGATTCGGTTCAATATATCGCTTATTAAATCCTGATTTCTAACATTGGCTGTTTCTAATCAGCTGGCAACACAAGGTTCATGGTTTAAAAACGTTTAAAAGAAAAGTCTAGAAAGTTCATAAATACCTTATGATTCTCTTGTTTACATTTTTCTTGTAAACAAAAAACTGTCATATGGCTACTTTAGTCCCATAAGCCTAATGTTAAAATTTGGAAATTTTAAGTTCGTTTTAAATTGCATTAGCATTATCTAATTGAAATTTGTTTGTTTATTAACCATCTCACTATTAGTCTAAGTAATCTTGTTAAGTTTAGCTGAAATGTTTTCTGCCGTTATTGAGTGATGTTGCTTTATTTGTTGCATTGAAGTTGATCCCAAAGAGCTACGCTCGCTTCGCTCAATAAATCAAAACTCCATTGAAACTTAAATAATTAAAGCCAAAATTAGTTGTTAATAAAATGTGAGTTTCCTTTGTGTTTCTTTTAGGTACCAGTATCTAGTGTTACAGTGTGTGTTTGGAACAAAAGGTGCATTCTAAGTCTCAATACCAATTATTAAAAGAGCGTAAATCCTAAGCACATGTTGGACAACTGTTAACAACAGTGTATTCCAATGCAGGTATCAGAAGCCTAAACTGTTCAGAACATTAGTTCATGGTAAAACCTTTTACTGTAGTGATTACAATTCATTTTACAAGTGTACAATTGTTTTCTATTGCAGGAAACAATGTGCGGGGTGGCAAGGAGTGGTGTGGGCTGGACGGGGATGGCGGGGACACAGGCTGCGGGGGTGTCGGGACGGAGGCGGGGGAGGGTTCCGACGCCGGGGACCAGCTGGAGGGGACGGACACAACTCCGGACGACGCTCTTCACCTCCAGAGACGGGTGGGACTCCTCAGTGGGGTGGCTCTAATCGTCGGAACTATGATCGGTAGGTTGTTCACAATTACAATGCCTACCGGTATAAGTTATACTTTTTTGGAGAAGTCAGCAACCTCTTTTAACCATGCATTTGTCATTCCACAGTCCTTGGGTTTATGCATTTAAGGTAAGGGTTAAGTTGGTACAGTAGAGTGAACTGCACGGATAAAATTAAGTGGCGAGCACCGAACGAGAATCCACAACATCGCTGCCATAGTTCTTCAAGATACCGACTGAGCCACCAACTTGCCTAATAGCATTGACTTTTTAGAGTCTGATGTATACTAAATGCAAGTTGCATCCATAGTACAGAACAGGGTCTTATGCAAGATGGTCAAGCTATTGACAACACTGGAAACCTCGTGTATATCGTCATGCAGGTTGTGTCAACTGCTTATGACCCTCGTGAAGGCACTAAAGTTTGATTTACTTATTTGGTACCTACTGTAATTCTTCAGTTAATGCTAAGATAGTACAAGGAAATTTTCAGAAGAATTCCCATTTGTTATGTTCAACACTGTGTGTTTCAGGGTCTGGGATTTTCGTATCGCCGTCTGGCTTGTTGATCCGCACGGGATCGGTCGGGATGAGTTTCGTCATCTGGATAGCATGCGGCGTCTTGTCGCTTTTAGGTAGGTCAATAGACAAGACGGGACATTCATTCTTCCTTCAACAATACAAACATAATTGTACTGGACATCATCAAACTTAGGGTCCACCAATAGTAAAAGACTTTTCATGCTCCTACAAATTAAGTGGTGCTAAATTAAATCCACAATGGAAAAAAAAGAATCAGCTGATGTCTTGTATATCATTTTGTTTTAAATATAAATCTGGGGATATGTGGTGTCTATTGGTGAAAAAAAACTCTATAGAACAGCCAATAGAGTTGAGAATGTTGAGAATATTAATAGGTTGTTGATGCTATTGGTTTTATTTTTTACATTTTAATCAGAAAAATGGATTACACAATCTTGTTAGGGTAAAACTTGTTCATTGATAGATAGCAAAAACTATAGGCCATGCGCTATTGGAAGATATCTCCCATGTCCTTACTCCAAATTGTGGAAGAATAAGGTGTTAAAATTTCATATATCATATTTTTTTGTTTCATTTTTTTCACAAATTGTATGGTTTTTTTTGGGTTTGTTAATTTCAATTAGAAAACGCACACTTTTCTCTTTTAGTATAATTGTGCTTGCACCAATAATTATAATTCTTTTTTATGTGTAAATTATGGTCATAATGTACTATAAATCTACTAAGGATGCAAGAAGTTTACATATAACTTTTTTTGGTTCGCAATAGATTGGAACACTTGCTGTATCCAATATTTAATAGCGCTATTTACTCTATATTATTCATTTATGTACGTTATATGTATAGCAGACATAGGCTAGTTTCTTATCCCACTTTGGAATAATGTTAAATAGGAAAAAATCATACACCTATTGAAAAATTACTTCCTCAAATTCACACTCCAATTTCACAACCTCTATAAAAAGCATGCAAGGATTGATGCCAATTTGGACTTGTCTTCATTCATTGCACGTGTTGCTTTTGACAACTCGTGATCCTGACTAAACTATTTCTATTTTTGTCAAATGTAGCCTAACTGAAAATATTTTAGGTCCTATTCATTTACAAAAAATGATGATTAAATGTGAAATTGTGATTTTGTTTTCTGGTATTAAATTAATGTAAACAATATTCTTATTCTCAAATTTGAGTTTTTGTACAGGTTATGGAGGAAGAGACTTGTACGAATTTTACTTGTTGAAGTAAAGTATTTTTAATTTACATCTCTAATTTACAATGATGTCAAAGCCCAACAAAATGGATAGTAATAATTTTGATTGTGAATCTGAACGTTTTAAAACCGAATTAACTTCTCGGAACAAAAAGTGAAGAGAGCTGTCGAGTGTTGAGTGTTAAGTGATGATGTGCCTTACATTGACTTAGTTAACCCTAGGTCAGCGCAGCACTCGGGTATCACGTGATGTCTCCGGCCATTTAATTCCGATCCTTGACTCTCAGTTTGTCTTTGTCTCGCAATGAACTTATTAACAGAAACATACCATTGAAAATAACATCATTTTTGTTCTTTGGTAAAAATGTCCTCAGAAAATTCAGTACTTACTCTTAAAATAAATTCAAATATACTTTTTGTTTGAGGCAAACTTAAAAACTTTAAAGGAAAAAGTCTATGAAAACAATTTAGAGTGATGTATAGATGTTTGATATTCAGACAGAAAATTCTAGATGAAATGTACCATTGAGAAAAATAAAATCATTTTTGTTAAATTTAGTAGGATTTTTGGGAAACATCACACTTTAAGGTAATACAGTTTAAGGTATTTAAATATTTAAAACAATAAATCAATAAAATATAAGTATTTATTTGAGGCAAGTTAAAAAAAAATATTCAAAACATGACTTTCTCCTAAAGGGATACCGGTATATAAAGTCTAGATGTGTATATAGACTGAACAGTCAAGATTGAAACACTGAGTTGAATAGAAACTTTGACTATTGATACAACTTCAGTATCCATTAGTTAATGATAGAAGCCAAACTAGTGAAAAAAAGAATTCAGTTAACCAAACAGCACCTGTGCGAAATTGATCTGGAAACCATCATCCTCCATGTGCAGCTAAAATTTATTTCTGATTATTTATAAAATATCCTAAAATTTTTACTACTTGTTTGAATATACATGAAAATGTTCTCAAAATGATTATATCAAGTTTTTTATGATTTTTAAGAGATGAATATCCACATGTTTCTAATAATGCTATTAGGAATTGTAGATTAAATACAAGGGCAGCTTTTTAAATAATGCGCATAAATTCGTAGTTCGCTTGTACACCCCAACGACATTCATCGCCAAAGGACTGAAGGCTATGGCACTAATGTAATGAGTGAGGGTAAAGTGCAGAAATAGGCTAGGGAGTCCAAACATGGCCGTGAAAATGTTTATTTTGGAAGATATTGTGTTTTTTGTGGATTCTCACAGAAGACCACAAAGGAAAAGGATTTCACGGCCATTTTTACACTCCATAACCCATTTTCACACATGAATATACACCAGAACAGGCTACAGATTCCATTAAGGATATGGAAGCAGAGCCGGCGAGAGCCATAACAGGCCCCTGGGCTGAGCGATCGCGGGCCCTCTATTTTCCTGATTAAGTGTCCAGCCGCCTCCGTGCCGTTTTGTTATACATATAACAATATACTATTATACTAACATTTTTATTTTTTACTTAAGCAGATTACATGTACAGAAAAGATTTATCATTTGACCGGACCGGGCCCCTTCAGAACCCAGGGCCCCGGGGCTCTGGCCATCTAACCGGCCCTATGTGGATGTCTACTTGCTCCTCCTTTTACCTCCTAGCCTCAGATGCCTGACTGGGGTACCTACTAAGGGATTGAGATCGGGAATAAAACAGAAACTTTCATTTCATGGTCCAATTTCCCAAAGTAAAAGCAAAAGCCAATCAATTGACAGTTAGGTAATTCATAGGAGAAGCATACAGAGTTACAGACTCACAAATGTTCGAATTTATACATATAGATTTATATCAAAGCTGTTGGGGCAACTCTTTACAAAACCTGTCTAATGGCCTTCATCCAAATTTTGTGCGCATGATGTTGTACTTACAGGCAATAATTGTAAATCACAAAACAAAATGCAATTAACATTAATGGGGTGATTATAAAGAAGTAATTGGAGTAGTTTGAGAGTATAATGTTTGTTGTGTGGGTGCCGTGCCAAGTTACCTGGCATTGGATATATTAGTTTGGCACGACACAGCTTCATATCGATGCTGCATTCCTTGCCTTTGTCTAAGGATGGTTTACCTCTGTGTGTCTACATTCCAAAGTAGGAATAATTTACCTTGAATTTGCTTTTGAAAATAACCGATTGCAAAAAATTTATAATTTGAAGAACATATTTAAATTTGAGTTCTGGATTCAGCTTTTTAAAAGGGGATCTCAATTTTGTTTGATTTATGTCTTGTTCAAGGTATATAAACATTGCCAGAAAATAATCTTTCCAGATTATATTCTATTATTCCTGATTCTTGTTACCTAAACTCTTAAAACAAGCTAGTTGTAGTTTATGGTGTTTGCCTGGTAGGAACGGCGTTTTCACAAAGCTTTTTACTCAGTATTAATGGGCTATCCATTTTATTCCGAGATTATGGTGAGCGCTACTGCAGTGAAAAATTTACAATCACACCACTTTTGCCAATTCAATTTTGAAAAAAAACTTAGTTGTAGCTTATTGTTTTTTCAAAGCTGAACCCAACTGTTTATTATCATTGTGTTTTTAATGCACGGTTCTAAAAAAGAAACAACTTATCTCAGTCAGTAAAAAACCTATAAAGTTTATCTCACACCATTCCACATCCACACTCACTCATCGCCTACACCCTGGTTTTCATAAAATATCACTAAAATATTCTAGCTGTCTTAATTAAATTATTAAAAGACACTACCAACAACAATATTACTTGGTTTGATCATAAACCGGTACACTTGCAATGATTATGTTTCTCAATTAATGCTCCAATGTTAAAATTGTGGACGCTCTGGTCTAGACCCCTAGGGGCAGAGTGCAGGGCTTTGGTCCCTGAAAACCCAGGTTCGAATCCCGCCAGATGCAAACGGCTGTAGCTATATGATTATACGGGAACCCTGTAGGTCTAGCTTGAAGTAATGTGTAAAAACAGTTCTAGGGTATATCTTAGGGTCCTAGGATGTAGAGGTGGAACAAAAAGTTTGTAAAGGCTATTTACGTGTAGCAATAAATCTTCCCAACCTGTTTTGTCGACACCCTATTTTTTACAAGTCAGAAATAAGACAACAGAGATTGAAAGAGATGCGTAAATGAAGCAGACCCGTGTAGAACAGCAGCTATTCTCGTGCTGGCTGATACTGCTGGCAATGTTTGTCCATCGCACACGCTTGATGATCCGTGACCTTACAACGGACCTGATAAACAATACCTTGTACTACATTTATAATTGTACACGATAATACAATTGTATAGGTTTTCTCGCCTCGATCAAATTGATCTTTGTTTTACTACCACACTTGTTTACACCATTAAAAACAAGAATCGATAGTCTTAGATTTGTTAACAAAAATGTTTACACAAAATGATGTTTTCTTATGGATATTCTTCATGGTAGGTTAGGATTAGTTACTGTCCAAGGGGGAAAAGGCCTCCGAAGCTGCATATGAGAATGAACGAAGACAATTCCATGCCTACGGCTTTCTTAATGGTAATCAAAGCTATTGTCTTCGGAAAAAAGTTAAATTTACAAGTGAGATAAGCATGTAAAAATACAAGAAAGCACAGGTGATGTCTTCAACTCCAGCTGATTCTTTTTCAACCTAGGAATAAAAATAACTACTCTATTACACTACTTACTCTATTACAAACCATGTCTCCAAAACAGCTGTTTTCTGCAGCAAATAATTTATTTGTTTCCTCGTTAAAAACTCTTAACCTAACCAACCAAAAATATTTTACCTCTTCAGGTGCACTGGCCTACGCTGAGCTGGGAACTATGAACACGAGTTGTGGTGCCGAATACGCGTACTTCATGGACGCGTTCGGTCCACTTCCAGCATTCCTGTTCTCTTGGGTATCCACACTGGTGCTCAAACCCTCTCAGATGGCCATCATCTGCCTCAGCTTCGCCAAGTACGCTGTTGAAGCCTTCGTCTCCGAGTGTGAACCACCCGACACTGTCGTTAAACTGGTCTCTGTACTGTCTATATGTAAGTTTGCGGAAAAAAACATTTCATTCATTTATTACTTTATACAGGAAATATTTTAGTTTATTCTTTAGTTAAAGAAAATTTAGTTTGATTTAATAGAACTAAACAGCTGATCTTGGTAACAAAGCTACACAGGTTATCTATCTATATTATTAATGTGCTGCATGAAACTTTGTGAACAATAAGGCTTTTTGTTTTAAGATTCAACCCCACATATTACATACCAAATTGTTCATCTAGGTGTGTAGATTTGCAAACTGACCTTAAATTTTTGAAAAAGTCCCTTCACTGTTTGTTCCTCGTTATTGAACCTACTTAAACTATCTGACATACGACTGTCTTTGATACCTGGGCTTTTAATACATGGTCATGGCTATAGAAACAGCTGATTTTGGACTTCTAATTAATGTGTTCAATTTCTTTTTGAGTACTGGACAATGAGTTAATGTTAATTGGCAATCAAAATTGTATGTTTTATTTAAATTTTTTTATTTTAGTGGTGATCATGTACATCAACTGCTACAGTGTGAACCTGGCGACCGGAGTTATGAACGCGTTCACAGCTGCAAAGCTGATCGCCATCCTCATAGTCATTATTGGAGGCGCATGGAAACTACTAGAAGGTGTGTTTCATTGTTGACTAGACTGTACACCACTACTGTAACAGTGAAATATAGATAAAGCTATATTGCTATATATGTGTACTGCTCGCATCGTAAGACCTTTGGGGTTGTAGGAGCTATGAATGTATGAGGACGGAGGAGTTGATGAACTGTGTCTTATGCAGCATGTTAAAAGAATCCGAAAATGTATTTGTATGCATGAAGTGCCTAAAACATGGTGTGTATAAGTACACTCAGTGGTGGCAACATGGTTGTCTGTACCCGTTACAGTGTAAAGTTACACCACATGAAAGCAGCACGTGAATCATTGGTACAATACTTGATCCTCCGCAGAGAGGGTCAGACAATACAAGGTAAGGACCTTTCCCTAAAAAAAAAAAACACTTTCAAAATGCCAAAGGCCCAAAATAAAACACAAAGATATGGTCAGATAACCAAAGACGAGATAATTAAGACTCTGTATTATGCAATGGTGATATAAATCTTTCTTCTAACAAAGTTTGACTAGACTTGTCTGAATGATTTTGGGAAAGATTATACCGTCTAAAAAACAAACACGGCATATTTATCACGGTTACTTCACTCTAAATTAACAGGCTGTTTAGATAAACAAGGTGGTTAAAATTTAGAATATAGTGGTAAGTTAATTTGTTTCTTGTTTATATTGTAAATTTTAAAAGTTGCATTAAAATTATCAAAAAACGTTTTCTTCAGACAATTCAGATTAAAACAATTAACATTTGAAATTCCAATGTAGAAAGAAAGTATTACATGATACTTACGCTGTAAAGGAAGCTGGCAATTCAACCAAGGGTAGTAAACCGTTAGTGCTGATAGGGGATGTGGGGGGCAAGTTGCAAGTTATAGCCCATTAGGGGGAAGGGGGGGAAGTAAGTGGTTGGAGCAATGACCAGGTCACCTTCTTACTCTCTCCCTCTTTCTCTCTTGTGTAACAGATTTTCTTTCTCGCTAGAGTGACCTGATTTTTATCTTTAAAAAAAGTTTCACCTTTCAAATGAACAAAATATTGCTTACCTCATGAACAATTTGTTATCAAATTAAGATGAGTCACTTGATAACTCAAACATTTTTTCATAGTTTATTAATAGGGTGGGTAAAAAAAGTTAATAATTTTTTTGAGTTGTAATACCTTGGAAAAGTTGCTACGCCTTTACTTTAAGAACACAAGGATGTATCACACATCAAGGGTAATATAACTAAATCTTCACTCACCACTATTTATGTCACCATTACTTAACAAAGACGGTAACACAGGTTTCGCTGAACACGGGTGTAAAGGTTTACAAGTCAGTGTAATGGGGGTTGTACTACACCTCTCACCCTACTAGTGCAGTAGACGATTGTGTGTGATTTTAAAACGGTTTTTCCAGTCAGAAACACAATCGTAGATTAAGGATTAAAATCACATCTCGATCAGGTTTGGTGTTTAACTCATGAGGAGTTAATATGTACGTAACAGGGCTTGATAGGACACCACACCTACAATAAACCATGGATGGTTCCTAAATTGATGGGAAGGGTTGATTGTTCAAAAGTTGCTCCCTCTGATGATGCATTTTGCTACCTTTTATCTATCCTCATACAGGTGGGTTCACCACAAACAGCTTATTTAACAATAAAATACATTGTTGTGTTCATATGATGGAGAAAATACATGATAATATAGGTATACGAGTTGTTCCTCAGGTTCAAATGATTGAATTTTCACTCTTACGTCTTTCCAGGTAATACACAAAATCTAGAACAGCCGTTCCAAGGGACGACTTCGTCCATTGGCAACATCGCAACAGCCTTCTACACCGGGCTGTGGGCGTACGACGGCTGGAACAACTTAAACTATGTCACGGAAGAAATAAAAAATCCATCAAAGTAAGTGCTGTAACAATTATTCATTTACAATATATATATGTCCACACAAGTACAGTAGAGTCAAGATTATCCAACCTAAACTAACTACGACAAGATATGTTAAGCAGTCAGGTCAGATAACAAAGGAAATAGAAAAAAACACACTGTTAACATGTTAAAAATAATCAAATGAGTGTTTCTCCATTAAAAAAACCTATACATGATTTAAAGTTTGTTTTCACTAAAACAACCATCTTCCTCAGCCACAAAAAATAACTGACACATCCACTTAGCCATTGGTTTTAAATAGCACTGAAACTAGTTAAGGAAAGCAGAGGGGAATGCAGAATGCAGTTATAAGGAGTTGACAAACTGCAGTGACCTAAAGCATAACGTGAATTTTCTGAGTTTGGGTGGTAAAAGGGGTTTTCTTGGCTTAACCGCTATATTGTATAGTCATACCTTACAATTTCACAGTGCTTGATCATCCGCAGGGGGTCGAAGAATACAGAATGTTGGATATAAATGAACATTGAATAATTGAGGCTCTACTGAAGTATATCACTTCATTGATATTTTTCATTTACTTATACAAATGAGTAAATAGGTAGTTGTATTTTTTCTTAGTTCAACTCATTAATATTTCTTTTCCTAACTTATGCTGGTTTTCCACACAGGAATCTTCCTAGAGCAATAATCATCGGCATCCCACTAGTGACGGTCTGTTACGTGCTGATAAACATCTCATACTTAGCCGTAATGTCTGCGGCAGAAATGGTCGAGTCAGAGGCGGTTGCTGTTGTAAGTATTCATTTATTTTTCTTACAGTTGCCTAAAAAGAACCATTTCTGTGCAGGTTGAATCTTAAAAAAAATTAATTCTGCATTCTTTCATTTTGCCACACTATCTTGTTTTACTTTGCCTTACTCAAGTTTTTTATTCTACAAACAAAAAAAGATAAACATGCAACAACCAGATGAGGTTAAACAACAATTTGGCCACAATGGCTATAAGACTTGTTGATCAGCTGTTGCACTGACATTGTTTACATTTAGAATAAGACAACTGGATTTTAATTGTAGAATAAGGCATCAGAGTACAATATTTAACTGTTGAAATATTTGATAATCTCATTAGTGAAATTGTTGTGAGACAGTTTATTTCATAACACCTGTTAATTTCTATTAATTATTATCATATGTTTATTTGTTATTCTATGTTTGTATAAAGGTAAATAAAGTTAGTTGAGTTTGAGTTATGACATAAAACAGTGCATTCACTTAATTCTTAGTCAAATAGTACATGGTGGCAGCGGTTTAGAGCTATGCCTCAGAAGAGAAATCCAAGAAGGAAACAATCTGACTATGAAGATAATGAAAATGAAAGAAGCAGAGAAAATGAATACAACAATTCAACTAAGAAGTCAATCATTGTATCAAACACTCATTCAGTAATTCAACCTCCAGCTAGTTTCTCCTTTGTACCAGCAGATTGGCCAAGATGGAAAACACGATTTCAAAGATATCGGTCAGCATCTGGGCTATCTGAAGAGTCTGAGAACAAACAAATCAACACTCTTATATACACATTAGGTGAGAAAGCTGATGAGATTTTTGCATCTTTTAATTTAGCAACCGAATCAACGCTAACATTTGAAGAAGTCTTAGATTTACAGGGTTGCCACCAAAGTGAGATAAAAAAATTCATGCATAATTCAAGGTTTTCATTGGTAGTTTTGAAAAATTCATGGGGTATATGCTCGCACAATTTCACCATAAAAGAGTGTTGCCTAGTTCAGAATTGTACATTAATTTATCTACAATATATAGTTTTGTGTGCTACTATCAAATAAAACACATTTCATGCGTTTATTTTAGAGTTAAAAATAAGAATTTAATATAATTTATCCAGTCTAAAAAAAGTAAAATCGCAGATGAAAAAGGATATTAATAAAAATCTTGTGTGTGATAATACGATGTAATTATTTAAAAAATTGAAACATCTGATTTAACAACATCATAGGCCTAATGATAAATTCAAACGTTAGAAGAAATAATAAATAAAAAAATAAGTCGGATTGGTAGTTAGGTCTAGGCCTAACCTAAAAAACATTGCATCTAAACATAAAAGGTTTAACTTAGTTAAGTTAATCCAGCAATGGCCTACAACTTTACTGTCTAAACATCAAATTAAGATAATAGGCTACTATAAAAAGAAATGTTAAGAACATGATCAAGAAACGGTTATCTTAGTAATGGGCCATATCTAGGCCTACTAAAACGCACATGCAATTTATTACTTTATACAGTAACACAGTAGGCTAGCCTACAACATTGTAATCCAAAGCTGAATCTAGGCTAAGTTAGGCCTGAACCAACTTTTATTTATTGAGAAGATTAAAGGTTACCGACTGACTGATAATAACACTCTAAAAAGGTAAGATTATGTAAATAAATATTTAGTTAAAGCTAAGAACGAAACAAAAGTTATGGAATGTATGTAAGTTTAGACATAGGCTAACTTACATTAAGTAATAAAAAAATAATTAATTACATTACAGAAAAGGTTAAAATAAACTTAGTTAGGAGGATGTTTCTTCAGATTGGATCAGTTTATATATTATTATTTGCCTACACAGGTTTAAATCACAGTTAAAACAATTATTTAATTAAATTTACATCTCATTAGTTAGATTCGTATTGACTGAAAACACCTAGTTAATGCTTCAACAAAACATTTACATTTACCTTCCTCAGAACGAAATCACCATTTTTCAGCACAACATTGACTTCTTGCAACTTAGGCCCAAAAAAATAAACTTAATCTCACGTTGTAACACATTTACTAAACACTGACAGTAGTTTGAAATGACGACATATTTGACCAAAACAAACACAGCAGACGATTAAGTTCCAGCCGGCGCAAGCCATTTTGACCTTTATGGCAAGGCAAGGTACTTCTTATTTTAACGTTGTAAAGTATCGGAAGTATAATATATCAATAATAAAAAATATTTAATTTGAACACTTGTTCCACTGAGTGTTGGGTAATCAATTATAAGAAGCACAAAACGGAATCACGAGTGCAACAAGTGATCACTGTCCAGTGTCCACCACTACTTCAAACGTTTGACTCGTTTCTAAGTTTCAGATCACTCAGATCAGTTTAAAACTTTTAGGTTATGGTTACTCTGAATTTCCTTCCACACGAACACTAGAGTAGCAGTAGAGAGTAGAGAATGAGAGCGAGCATCAATCCCGATTGTCGATGTTTTCGAAACATCGATGTCTTTTCTATCGATGTTCGAAGTTATTTGTTTACATCGATGGTAGATTACCGAACCGATGATTTGATTTGTTACATCGGTCTTTTAGGCCAACAAAAGTAATGAAATATTGATGTTTTCCGTAACTGAATTGTATTGGTTTTAGGTTAATTGGCTGTTACAGTGCAGAGAACAGACGAGAAACTCGGAACAAACATCGATGTGATCGATGTTTTAGCTCCGAAAGCATCGATTTTATCGGTAGATCGGTACTCGGTAGAGATGGGCGTTATAACATAACAGGATGAATAACAATTGTGTGTTGCGGCCACGGCAACGTTATCGCGGCAACACGTTGCGGAGAACTCCCTGTTATTATAATAACGTATCTATCTACACAATGTTGCAGGAAAGCCGCGCGGACAACGAAAACGAAAACATGCATTGCCATTAGTGCCGTTGCCGCAACGCTACCAGAGCAACGATAACTTCTGAAACGAACTAGAATAACGCATCCTGTCTGGACAACGCGGTAACGCCCGACTCCCGACTACAACTGAAAACTGAACTGATCAACCGAGAACCGACAATGATAACTGAACGCCGCAACACCGACCGGCGGACAACGGTTTATAGCGGCAACGAGTGAGTTGGCAATCGTTATTGAAATAACAGGTTGCCGCAACACGTTATTGGGCAGTGCGTTATCGTTATAACCGTTGCCGGAAAACAACGATAATTCCCATCTCTAGACTACTCGGCAGACGTCGGTTACGATCGGATTTGACCTTGAATAAACTACGCAATCGTTTCTGTTCGTGGCATGGCAACAAAACTTTTTATCTCGACACTCCCACTTTGACGTTTTATCTCGGTGTTCATTTCGAGAATGGTTTTAATACGGAGTATTTGATTCAGCACATTTAGGGGTTTTGGCTGAATTGTTAATAATGATTTTGAGAATTCATGGTCCAATGACGAAATTCACGCATAATTCACGCACTTTTTCATGGTCACCTAAATTCACGCATAATTCACGCTTTTCAAGGTTTTCATGGCTGGTGGCAACCCTGATTTATTTGACAAACATTTTATTCCACGGAGGAACTTAATTTTTGAAAGAGCAAAGTTTTTGAAGAGACAACAAAAAATTAATGAAACAGTTGAAGAGTTTATAGTTAGTCTCCATTCCTTGGCTAGAACCTGTGACTGGGGTTCACTTAATGATGAAATGGTGTTGATGGTACTAATACTGGGTTTAAATGATGAGAAACTTAGTGATCGCTTGTTGCTAGATCCCGAGATGAATTTAGACAAGGCCATTACAGTAATAAGACATGCAGATAACGTAAAGAAAGAGAAGGCAGATTTATGTGATGAGAAAAGAGTTCAAATTGAAGCAACTACGTCATCGAGTTCAAACCAAAATCAAGGATACCGGTATAGGTTTCGTCAAAAGAAACAAGAATACCCAGCGCAATGTATCTGGTGTGGTTATAAACCGTCTCATCCAAGAAGCACGTGTCCAGCAAAAAGCGCAACATGTAACTTATGCAAAAAGATTGGTCACTTTTCGAAGGTCTGCAGATCTAAAGAAGCACAGGAAGTAACTGATGAAAATGAAGTAAGTGAACTTGGACCTTCAAATAATAAAGTATTCATAGGTACACTTGGGGATGGGTCAAAATGTAAGCCCTGGAAACTAGAATTACTATTTGAGGGAAAGCCACAAACATTTAAAATTGATTCAGGGGCAGATGTAACAGTAATTCCCCCTGGCATAGTTGATCCAAGTAGGATCCAGCCGACTCTAGTTGAGTTGTTTGGGGTTGGTAGAACAAAATTAGAAACTGTAGGTTGTGTTAGAGCTAATATCCAATACAGAGATGTTAAAATAAATCACATGGTATACGTAGTGAAGGGACTCATAACACCCTTGCTTGGTCGTCCAGCAATACAGGACTTGAAAATTTTAACTTTTGTTAATTCAGTTGCAGAGGTAGACAGTGACTTTTTTACCGAATACCATGAAATGTTTAGTGGTCTGGGCGTCATTCCTGATCCCTACACAATAGCACTTAAGGATGGCGCAAAGCCATACGCAATAACCACTCCTAGGACAGTACCTTTACCCCTAATGTGTCAAGTGAAAAAAGAACTAGAAAGTATGGTCCAAAATAATGTAATCACACCAGTTGAGCATGCTACTGAATGGTGCTCAGCAATGGTAGTAGTGCCTAAATCTAATGGAGATGTCCGCATATGTGTTGACTTAACAAAGTTGAATGAATCCATCCAGCGGTCTTATCATCCGATTCCCAAAATTGAAACGTCTCTGAGCTCAATTTCAGGAGCAAAATGGTTTTCAAAACTTGATGCAAACAGTGGTTTTTGGCAAGTCCCCTTAAATGTAAATTCCCAGGATCTAACTACTTTCCTTACCCCTTTTGGACGTTTTAAATTTCTCAAACTTCCATTTGGAATCACATCAGCACCTGAACATTTTCAGAAATGCATGAACAAAATCTTAGACAACCAGTCAAATGTCGCAGTCCATATGGACGATATTCTGATTTGGGGCAACTCTTTCTCAAGTTCAAGATGATGGTTCTATACGACCAGTATCATTTGCATCCCGAAGCCTTCTTCCTTCTGAAAAAAACGATGCAAACTTCGAGAGGGAGGCTACAGCTGTTGCTTGGGCATGTGAAAAGTTTCAAGAATTTATTATTGGCAAGAGAATAACAATACAAACAGATCACAAACCACTGCTTCAAATTTTGAAGTCCAAACATCTTGATGAATTGTCTCCAAGAATTCGAAGAATTCGATTGCGTCTCATGAGATATGATTTTTCAATTACTTATATTCCTGGAAAGCAGCTTCTAGTTCCTGATGCTCTTTCAAGAGCACCTCTCCCATTTTCAGGTACTGATGACCGTGAGTTAGAAGAAGAAACTCAAGCGTTTGTTCAAATGGTTTTGTCATCCATCGATATAAACGACTGCATAGTTGCTAAAGTATTGGAGGAACAAAATAAAGATCCGACTTTACGTGAACTGAAAAAAATAATCATCCAAGGTTGGCCTTCTAAGACATCATTGCGAGATGACCTAAAACCGTACAATTCAGTTAAGGATGAGCTAAGTGTTGATAACGAGATGATACTACGAGGTTCAAGACTTGTAATTCCGCCAGCTCTGCAGTCTTGGGCACTTCAAAGAGTACATGAAGGTCACTTTGGAATCACCAAGTGTCGTTTACGTGCAAAAGAGTCAGTCTGGTGGCCAGGAATTTCTTCAGCCATTGAAAGTATGGTGAAATCATGCCCTACTTGTATTAAACATTCAAGGAACAGTCATGAACCATTGCTTCCCACACAATTCCCTGACAGGCCATGGAAAACACTTGCGATGGATTTGTTCAAACTTGAAGGCATTTGGTTTTTGACTGTGACAGATTATTACTCCAGATATTTTGAGATAGCTGAATTAGAGTCATTAACATCACGAGAAGTAATAATGAGATGCAAAGCCTTTTTCTGTCGACACGGCATTCCAGAAGAAATTAGGTCTGACTGTGGGTCTCAATTTCAAGTCCTTGAAAATTCAGATTTCAAGACATTTTCCAAAGTTTATGGCTTCAAGCATGTAACAAGTAGCCCAAAATTTTCCCAAAGCAATGGAGAGGCTGAAGCGGCAGTGAAAATCGCCAAAATGATTCTAAAGAAAAATGTGGAAGACCCTTATTTAGCGCTTCTAGCCTATCGAACGACACCCCTCTGGAATGGGTTCAGTCCCTCTCAGCTTCTTATGAACAGGCGATTACGGAGCACATTGCCTCAGACAGGACATTTGCTTTGTGGAAAACCAGATCTAAAGGATCTTAAAGGGAGAGAAGAAAGATATCGTGAGAAGTACAAACACAACTATGATAGAAGGCACAAAGTGCAAACTCTCAATCCTCTTCATATAGGAGACCCAGTTTGGATTGTGGACCTTAGAAGACATGGCAAGATTGTGAAAATCCTGGACAGCCCTCGTTCATATATTGTTGAAACTGATAAGAGGAATGTGAGAAGAAATCGATTCCACCTCAAACTTGCCCCTTATTTAAGAGAGGAAAACAGTGAACAAAATTTGTCAGCAAATACACATCAAACAGAACCATACAACCGTCCAAAGAGAAACATACAAAAACCAAGCTGGTTGAAGAACTTTCAAACTTAAAAGGGAGGATGTTGTGAGACAGTTTATTTCATAACACCTGTTAATTTCTATTAATTATTATCATATGTTTATTTGTTATTCTATGTTTGTATAAAGGTAAATAAAGTTAGTTGAGTTTGAGTTATGACATAAAACAGTGCATTCACTTAATTCTTAGTCAAATAGTACAGAAATCAAAATATTTTGCAGACTTTTGGCAACCGAATCCTCGGCCTCATGGCATGGCTGATGCCTTTGTCCGTCACAATTTCAACGTTCGGCTCAGCCAACGGAACTCTCTTTGCAGCTGGAAGGTAATGAATTGAAATTGCATCCCTCAGTTGATTAAAGCAAGGTTCAATCGCAACTCCACTAAGATTGTATGGCGTGCTGGTAAATTTTTGGCCATTTACCATTTGGTAAATGGTATGATATTTTTAAAGAATGAGTATCTTTTTACATCTGTGTTTATTGTATCTAGTCTGTCATTCTACATGGACTATGCATTTTCAGACCTAAAACATATGTGTTAATGAAAGCAAATTTACCACAACTATTTTCAACCATGGTACTCTTTCTTTCCTGTGTAACCATCGTTGTCTTGTATTTGTAATTTTTTATAACAAAAACTAGCTGACCCGGCGAACTTCGTATCGCCTAAGTTATAGGTTTCCCCTAAGACAGACCGATGGAAAGAAAGTACCGTTGCGTTTAATTTTCAAGATGATCTCGTTCGCATCGCTCAATCACGTCCTGGTTGAAGTTCGTTCGCTACGCTCACTCACCTTTGGGTTGGAGCTCGTTCGCTACGCTCACTCACCTTTAGGTTGGAGCTCGTTCGCTGCGCTCACTTGCCTTCAGGTTAGCTCGTTCGCTACGCTAACTCGCCTCCAGGTTGAAGTTCGTTCGCTACGCTCACTCACCTTTGGGTTGGAGCTCGTTCGCTACGCTCACTCACCTTTAGGTTGGAGCTCGTTCGCTGCGCTCACTTGCCTTCAGGTTAGCTCGTTCGCTACGCTAACTCGCCTCCAGGTTGAAGTTCGTTCGCTACGCTCACTCACCTTTTGGTTGCAAATTAGCTGTTGTCATAAATAATGTAAAAGAAATAATAGTGCTGCACCCTGTTGGTAATCCTTGTAACTTTAATGCTATTGAACATCATAGAACAGAACCAACTTGTTTAATTGAAACAGCTGTTAAGATTCATTAATTCCATTTCTCATAAGGTTAACATGGGAAACTCCAGAGCCACTGGGGCGGAGCCCTTTTAAGAATTTCGAAACGGGAAATAGTTTACGTCCGATTCGCATACCTACAGAATTTACACACCAAATTTCATAACGATCGGTGAAGTCGTTCCGGAGGAGTTTGCAGACAAACACTGTGACACGAGAATTTTATATATTAGATAATAAAAGATTTCATATCTTCTTGTTCATGACAACAATGTTTTATGTTGCAGACTGTGTTTTGCAGCCAGCAGAGAGGGACATCTGATGGGGGTCCTGTCTTATGTGCATGTAAGGAGGATGACACCTGCCCCTGGACTAATATTCCATGTAAGCATTACAGTTGACGTATGTCCTATATTTAAATATTCCTGGTTCAGTACCTGTATACTAGGAGGGTTTCCAGTTATTTTATTAACATGAAGTAGTCTTTATCTAATGACCTCATTAGTTCAACTGTTTTCATTTCACATGGATTTTGGAGGTTCAAAATTGAATCAATGCTGGATGATCATCAACTATTGACAATGAAGATGTTCCAAAAGCCTCCCCTCTAAATTCTATCGTAAATAATTTGTCTTTTTGAAGTCACTTTACAAAACACTCATATGTCTAGCTATATCTGACACCGGTTTATTGCTGTTCCAGTCACTCATAGCAATAGCAATGGTGCTGTCAGGGACAATCAACTCCTTGATAGACTTCTTCAGCTTCACGGCTTGGATCTTCTACGGAGGAGCGATGTTGGCGTTGATAGTGATGAGGTTCACCAGACCAAACTTCCCCAGGCCCTACAAGGTACAGAGTAGTCTTATTTAGTCTGGGTGCACGGCCGCGCTATGGCCCGTGGTGTAGGGGGGAGTGTTTATTGCTCATTTCAAAAAACATCTGGCCCACTCGGCTCTGGGGTTGTTCAGCTGTCTTCATGGCTAGGCGTGGTGGAGGGAGTTGGTGAAATGTACACAGGACGGCTAGTAGAGACGGAACCGCGCGCCCAGACTGCTTGCACTTACTGTAGGTTACAACTACAAGCAATGTTCTAGAAAAGGATTCTGCAGAGAAAAAATTGTTAGCATTCAAATTCTAACTATATACCAACTAAAGTGATGCTGTGTGTGTATTGACTATCTGTGACAAAAAGGTGCTGGTTTTAGTAGCTCTGTACTGTTAGCAATATTACAAAGGAGGTTATCTTTATTTTTTTTCCTGCTATGAAAAATTATCTCACTTAAAAGTCTTTTGACTAAAGTCTTCATATGTGATATAGGTAGACCGAGGTGTATTTAATGTCTATGATAAAATAGGCGCAGATCTAGTAGCTTTGTTGCTCTATCGTGTATTAGAACTAAGCTGTTCGGCTGCAAATATTCTCAACATTTAAATCAAACAATCTATGTCATGATCCCAAAGGAGACTATTGAGAGTTAAACCTAAACAGTTAACTAATACAAAATATGCTATTCTACATGTTAATTTAAAAAAACGTCTTGCACATCATTAAACCTAATTGTTTTAAATCAATCCTGGAGGCAATGCTGGATATTTTTTTTAAAGTTTGAATGTAATGAAATTATTTTACCAACTGCAAATGTGTCCAGCAGAAACCAAGTTAGAAATCAATATAAAAAATGTTTCTCCATTATGATAACATGGGAGACAGTGACTGCATTCAACACATTCATCATCTTGGTAAATAGGATGTTGCACTATATAGAAAATCAAATAAAAATTAAATTAAATTAAATTAAACAAATTAAATCCAAGAGAATTATTTATGTTAAAGAAGATTAATCAAACGAGAATCTTTTACCGGCCTTCACAAATAAATGACAAATACAGGCCGTAAACTGCAAACTCATAGGCTTTCCACCATCTTCTAACAAAACCAAAATACCCGAAAACGCCAAATAAAAAAGATCAATAAAAAGTCCTGCTTTCCCTGTGTCTAGATTGTGCACGATTCCATGCGCCAAATAGGTTAGCTAGTTCAAATAGATACTAATTTATTTGTTGTAGTCAAACTTCATCAAAATCAGAGTTATTGTGCCTACAGATGGATAAACACAGAACAATTGAACAAAATTGTGTTTTTTCGGCTTCTGAAGACCCTAGAATGACAAAGTACAATTGATGGACTGAGATTTCACATTAAACTCTACAGTAATAGCTATTTTCCTAAAAACACTCCAAGGTTCGATTCTAGGTTCCTTTCCAACAAACCAGGTGAAAAGTACAAACCCCTTAACACTTTCTTCAGTTTAATTACAAATTGGCCTATAAAAGACGCTTATTCAACCAATTCTCTGTTTGCAGGTGCCTATTATCATTCCAGTTTTGGTCCTGGTAATCTCTACGTATCTCGTCATAGCTCCCATCATAGACACACCCCAAGTCGAGTACTTGTACGCGTGTCTCTTCATCATAGCAGGCCTCCTGTTCTACATACCCTTCGTACACTTCAAGTACAACCCAGCCGTCTTAGGTAAGTACCTCTTTTCAAACTCTCTCATTTCCACAGTTAACAGGTACGTACTTGTTTGAATATGTTCGGATTGATTTTGTGATTAGTCCGAAATGTAAATTCCATGTGTTTCGTTTTGAAATCCAGACAATGGGAACAGCACTGTTTGTGGATTGAACAAATGATAGTTTAAAGCTACAAAGTATTAACTATTTATTTAGTTAATGTTTGCGAAAAAGTGGTATTGGGATAGAGCTCTAAAGGGTTTTGAAAGTGATAGGCATCATACGTTAAATTGATTTGTTCTTTAAACTAAATATTGGTTAGGCCTACATAGTTTTTGCTTGGTTTAACGACAAACAAAGATTTGCAGCTTTTAATACTAAGATAACTCAGGGTATCAAAGGTAATTTATAAATCAGGGTTCCTCTACAACAAACGGTAGACTCGTGGTTATCCTAAGCTCAAAGAAAAACAGTCGAGAGAAATTGAAAAAATTAAACTAGATGAGTGTTTTGTGACTCTACATGAAACACAGACATCAATTTTAAAATTATTTCATGTAGGCCAAAACCAAAGGAATCTCTTTGTTTAATGTTTCACTATCGATGTTCAACTATTGATTAAAGGATATTAACATTTTTTTAAAATTTAATTGTTGGTGTGAAAATTAAAGTTTCATTGAGTCCTCTTCAACAGGGGCTTAAAAAAATAAATTATGAAAGTAGGCCTAGGCCTATTTGGGGGAAGTAATTTTTCCTGGTCCCTTTCAATATACTTTTAAGCATAATTATCAGCATCGTCCTAACCAGGAGAACTATCTGTTCAACAAAAATTGCCTTGAATAAACACGAGTCTACTTCTAAAACTAAATGTTTAGAGCTGAGTCAATAAATCCGACATGCTTTATATTTTTATTTGCTCATCCCTCCCATTATATTAAGTTTCTCATTAACTAAGTACGTTGCTGCTACGGTGGTCGAGGTAGTTTAGGTCTAAGTACGTAGTTGTTGTGCTGGCGACAGTTTGCTGGCGACAATTTCCTTTCAGAGTGGCCGATTGTTGTCCGCCTCAGCCAAGTGCGGTGGTTGGCAGCATCGACCTCCTCTGGTAAGTAGGCAGGGATTTCCTCATCGCATTCTAGTTTTCTCACTCCTTCATTTGTTCATTTTCTATTCCTCAGTTGCTTGTGTTTTGTTGTTAAATTATACATTGTGATTACAGCGCAGGGTTTTGCGTCAAGCTGCTTAAGAATGTAAATTTAAATTTTATTTTAAGAATTATCAATCTTAATTTTGAAGATTACACTTAAGATTTGAGTTATTGAATTTGATGGAGACTAGTTATTAATTTAGTTCAACAATGAATTTTAACGTGTTCTGGTATTTGGATAGTTTTTTTTGGAGATTTGTGCGTTTGGACTTGGATATGTAGTTATAGTTAGCATCTCGATTGATACAAGAAAGAGTTTGATTCCCGGTATATCAAAAAAAATTTGAATGGTTTACACATTTTTTTCCTTTAAAAGAATCTGTTTTTTATTCAAAATGCCACTGGTGTAGGAAATAACGATAAAAGAAAGAAAGAAATACAACACTGGAAACAGTTTCTAATTGCACATTTGGAACTTTGGGAGTCCTGGGTTATCGAAAAAGTCAAAATAGTGAGTGACATCTGAAAAATATCTCTAAGAATAGCGATGATATGGTTAAAACAGAGAATAAAAGTAGAAGAGGGTTAGGACCGAGTATCAGGCCCTTTTTTCCGTGCTTTATCGTAATTTATCACAATCACAATCTCATTTGAATGCCCATAAACAAGCCAGGAATGCTTGTTTCACAAAAAAAAAAAACAAAAAAAAAACAGCCTTTTAGCCTGGATTAGCAGGGTTTTACCAAAAATTCAAAAACTTCTTCCAAGTGATCCATTACTTAATTACAAGAGGATATTTGTTAATTCTATTTTTTTTATGAATTGTATGAAAATAAAAGTACCAAAACAATTTCTGTAGAACGCCATGTAAAAAGTTAATCCTCTGGAAGAAATTTAAAAAATAAAAAATTCTTGCACAAGTGTGTTATTTATGTATATACTATTTTAGTAATATGCTTAACCAAAGATAAGTAATATCACTCATAGCTTCTCAGATAGGATTTTCTACAGGAGTTTGGAATCGCCTTCGGTGAGTGTTTAACGAAGATACTACCTGGTAACCTAGAAATAATACTTTGACTGTCCTTACGTTTAACCGGTTTTGTTTTACATCTGCATTTCACGTCCATCCTAATTCCATTTGATCCTATTTCATTAAAAAACCTGACCGCATAGCACAATGCATGCACTGCAATATTTCTCACATTGGTGTGTTTTCTGATGCGACAAGTTTTACGCCGGAACTAATAAACCGGTTCTTTGATTGCAGATAGTGTCACAGTATTCTGTCAACTACTACTAGAGGTGGCCCCTACCCAGAGCGTAGTCTATGATTAATACGTCATCGTCTATCTATGGGTGTCTAATTAAGTTTTATAATAGTTACTCTACAAAAGTGGAAACCGGTTTTGTACAAGATGATTTTCATCGAGGCTGTGCAATTTGAACAATTAAAATTATTTATCAAAGGTGCATTTAATCATGGAACAGGATTTATATTTTATCTAAAAATATATCATTTTTACAAGTGGTAAATTTTTACCCATACGAAGTATAAATTTCATTTTTAAATATTGAAATTTTATCAGTAAAGATTGCGTTGTTGTGACATAAGAAATAATTTTTGTTTACTTAAATGAGCATATTGTTTGACATTTAGAGAACTAACTAGAGATGTAATCTGTGATAACGAAACTAGACTTAAAATTTAGAAGAATTATTCTTTCTAATACAAATAGTTTTGAATCCAACTAAATTGATTCAATGTTATCACCCAATTTTATTACAGTTATTACTTGTTGAATAACAATTTCGCAAAGCTTTCTCATGTTATAGTGCATACTTAACAAAATTTTCTTGAAACTTAGTAGAGAAAAGATATTTTTCAAAGTTTTTCATTGTCTTAAAAGTAAACAAAATAAATTGCTAAAATGAACTTTTAACAAAGCAGTATAAAAAAGATACCAATCAGTGCCAGAAATCTCTCTATCTATTTAATAGATTTATTTTTTTATACCTACCCTCAACATACAGATTTGAATAGCAAGAATGTAGAAATGTTTTTGAATGTACAGGTAAAAAGTAAAAATCAAATAAAAGTATCTTTCTTTTATGTTTTTTAGTTAGCAAAATGAAATAAAAAACGCAAGTCAGGTAAAAAGTACACCTTTTCAAAAATATTTTTTTGACATAAACGGTTCAAAATTTATTCACAGAAGCAGACATATCAGTCTTATTTAAAAATTAGTGAAAGAGGCATTTTTATCGAGCAATTTTACACGTGATTCGGTTAGACAGTATGCTGCGTGAAACGAGGTTAAAGATTACGGATAATTATTAGAAATACCTTACAATATCAATCCAAGCAATGACTATTCTTAGTTAGCCCGTCTATCTATGTCTGTCTTATACTTGTGCTGTCTCTTTTTTGTATCTTTTAGTAAAATATGTCTATTATCTTTGTTTTATGCTCTTGTTGATAAACAGAATAATTGTAATTTTTATAATGCTGTTTTATATCAATCGAATGTAAGAATGTTACCAAACGGTTACTTGGATTTCCCACCGAAATATCCAGAGGGAATTCACAACTAAGTATTGCACTCGGGTAATTAAGTTGTTGGAAGAATTTATTATTTTGTTACACAAGTGTTAAGTTATTTTGAAATAAAAGTTTTGTTAATAAAAATAACATGTGGGTGTATTATTTCAGTTCCTATATGCTCTTTTATTTGCATGTTATTTATATGAGGGACAGAAATAAAAATTCAATTCCATAGCTACCACGGGTACAAAGTATTAAGCCTCAACTGATTCACTAAGTGTAGGAACTTTATGCTAAGGACTCAAACGTTGTTTGCAAATATTGGGTGAATAAAGGTGATAGTACCCAAGCAAGATTAAATTCACCGGCAAGAAACCTATGCTATTAAAATTTAAAATGAGAGCATAATCAAATCCAATTGTCATTAGCCTATTCTGTGCTAAACCTTCACACTAGTAAAGTCACGTTAAAAATTGTATAAAATCAAAAACCATCCTTCAAGTATACATGGTTTACATTCAATGATAGAGAAATAATTGGGAATTTTCAGAGGATAAAAAATACTAAATAATAAAAATTATCTTACTGTGATTGGACTTAAGTAATTTTAAGTAGGCTAATCCAAATAAAATGTAAATAGGATGATAACTTAAATGTTTCTATATGAAGAAAAATCTTATTACTTCAAGAATGTGTCTGATAGTATAATGTAGAATCATGTTTTCACAATTATTTCGATTTATTTTTTGTTTCCAACGATTATCTATCTTATATATTATTAAAACGCTATACAAAACTTTGTGAACAATAAGGCTTTTTAGTTTTAAGATTTAATCCCACATATTATATACCAAAATGTTCGTCTAGGTGTGAGGATTTGCAAACTGACCTTACATTTTTGAAAAGGTCTGTTGGGCTCTGCCCCAGTGGCTTTTAAAGTTCCCATGTTATCCTTATGAAAAACATATTTGTTTACATTATGACCAGCTGGTTAATTTAATTGCTATTAATATGTTAGTTGCAATTTAAGGAAACGTGTGCTACAAACATTTACCGGTAGACTTGGTTAAAATGAAATGTTTACTATTTGAATTTGGGTTGGCGTAAATATTACAATGGAAAAAAGCAAGAAAGCCTGGACAATTTGATATAATAAAAAGAAAACTAAATTAATACTGTGAAGCATTTCTTGAGCAATCATTGAAAGAGCCGATTTACAAACTATGGAAACATAAGTCCACCACCAAGTAGAAGTACTAATCCATGGTAGGCTATCTCAAAGGAGTTTTTTTCATTTTTTGAAATTTTGATTTTTAATGTCGATTTTCCCATAAAAACCCATAAAATAACGGAAAAATCATATTTTCTCACCTTGGTATCGTTCTAGCAGTGGCTTTGCCTCTTCAGAGAGTCCTGCGATGTAATGGGTTCGACAGCCTCTAGGTATCATTTTCTCGAGACCTGCTGGACAAGCTTAGCGAAGGAGTCATACATATCAGGTTGTGGAGGGATATTGGTGATTTCTCTGTCAATGATCTCCCTAAAACCCGTCCAGTTGGCCTTTTTGAAATTAAACCTGCGCCTAAGAAGAACAACTTCAGGTTTAACAACAGCACTAACGGTGTACTCTAGCTACCACGGGTACAAAGTATTAAGCCTCAACTGATTCACTAAGTGTAGGAACTTTATGCTAAGGACTCAAACGTTGTTTGCAAATATTGGGTGAATAAAGGTGATAGTACCCAAGCAAGATTAAATTCACCGGCAAGAAACCTATGCTATTAAAATTTAAAAGGAGAGCATAATCAAATCCAATTAATTGTCATTAGCCTATTCTGTGCTAAACCTTCACACTAGTAAAGTCACATTAAAAATTTGTATAAAATCAAAAACCATCCTTCAAGTATACATGGTTTACATTCAGTGATAGAGAAATAATTGGGAATTTTCAGAGGATAAAAAATACTAAATAATAAAAATTATCTTACTGTGATTGGACTTAAGTAATTTTAAGTAGGCTAATTCCAAATAAATTGTAAATAGGATGATAACTTAAATGTTTCTATTAGAAGAAAAATCTTATTACTTCAAGAATGTGTCTGATAGTACAATGTAGAATCATGTTTTCTCAATTATTTCGATTTATTTTTTGTTTCCAACGATTATCTATCTTCTATATTATTAAAACGCTATACAAAACTTTGTGAACAATAAGGCTTTTTAGTTTTAAGATTTAATCCCACATATTATATACCAAAATGTTTGTCTAGGTGTGAGGATTTGCAAACTGACCTTACATTTTTGAAAAAGTTTGATGGGCTCTGCCTCAGTGGCTTTTAAAGTTCCCATGTTATTCTTATGAAAAACATATTTGTTTACATTATGACCTGCTGGTTAATTTAATTGCTATTAATATTTTAGTTGCAATTTAAGGAAACGTGTGCTACAAACATATACCGGCACTGACTCGGTTAAAATGAAATGTTTACTATTTGAATTTGGGTTGGCGTAGATATTACAATGGAAAAAAACAAGCAAGCCTGGACAATTTGATATAGTAATAAAAAGAAAACTAAATTAACACTGTGAAGCATTTCTTGAGCAATCATTGAAAGAGCCGATTTACAAACTATGGAAACATAGGAAAGTCAGAACACCACCAAGTAGGAGAAATAGAAATGGTTTTTTTTTATAATTTATAATTGTTATTACAGTAGACTCCCTCTTATCCGGACTCCTCGTGACCGAGGCCAGGGTTTTCGGGTTGAACCGACGTCCCCAAAAACTTGTTAAAACGGACTGTTTAAAAGCATGCTATATACAGTATTTGACTCAAATTTTAGGATGAGCATTATATTTAGACACGATATCAACTAGTCTCAAATCTTTCCTACGAGAACAGTCGTTTCAGTAACGTCCACTTCCTGCCGATCTAGTCCGATTAAACCGATGTGTTGATAAAATTTGTCCTGTTAAAGAGATGTCATTTCCGCCTAGTGTAGTCCAGTTAAACCGATATCCAGTTAAAAGGTGTTCGAATATGAGGGAGTCTACTGTATGGACAACCTAATGCGGCTATGAGTGGGAAACATTTGTAGAAAGCACTAAAAAACAGAATCAGCTTTTGAAAAATAAATGATAAAGATATTGACAAGAAATGTTGATTAAAACTAGGTAACTGTTATGTACATCGTGAGTATTTCCATAATCTTTGAGTGGACTCTTTCATCGGAAATTATGACTGTTATTCGTTTTAAGATAACGCCTGCAATACTTCGCAATAGCTTGAAATTGAGCAACAGGTACACTAGTTGATGTTATTCTAGTTCCAAAACATGAATGGATGGAGAATTTCAATTTAAATACCCTCTATTAAGTATATTAGCAATACAATATTTGGTTTAAGAAAAAAGACCAAGAAAATTTAAAAGTTATATTTCCAAAGGATTACTTAGCAGTTATCGGTTTCTTTGCCGCCCTTTGTTTCTTTTGCAGTTTCTTCTCCGTGGCTGACTTCTTCAACCCCTTCATCTTCCTGGTCTGAAGCTTGTCGATGTTCTGTCGGGTCATGTGAATTCTTCCCAGCTTTGTGCCAAAAGCATCATGAGCTATGTTCTTCACCTTCTTGGCCTAAGAAAAAACATTCCAGCATTTAGGGCTTAGCAAAACAGAGATATTACAGCTGGTCTCCAACATTTCCAGACATAAATTATTTAAACTAAAGTATTTTATCCAACCTGCCATGTTAAGCTTCCCTATCCCAAGCGTGAGGTAAAAACGCTCTTACTACACTTGTAACATAAATAACTATTCTTATCTGATAAATCTAACAAGGCTCCATTTGATAAGTTATTTTAAGTATTCATTTGATACCCCTGTCTAAACAGTAGGCCTACTGAAATTGTACTACTGAACTCAGTTGTAAATTTAGTTAGTACTAATTTATTAATAACAGTCTATCAAGTATTGCTCGTCAATGGCAAAGAGGAAGGTATTAAATTTGAGAACAAGTATAATAAAGAGGAACTTCAATTATTTGGGTTCTTTTTTTAAAGATAACTTTGCAAATAGTTGAAACAATATGTTTAGTGGCGAATAGTATTAAAGTAATGTCATTTTTATTCTCTTAGTCTTGGGCCTGAAGATAATCGGTGTGGTTTGGTCAAAATAGATAGTTAATGTAATGCCTTTTGAATATAAATCTGTTTACGCCACACTACACTGTTTTGATGAACTTCCCACGCAAGGATTTAGTCCAGAAAACAGCTGTTTGCCGTTAGCTTAATCAAATGGGGTTTCATTACGTACTACTGTACTGTAATGAGTTTTACCGGACACCGACCAGCTGATTATACTGTATTTGGCAATGAGTGAGAGTGGTTAGTTTATAAACAAAAACATAACCTCTCTTAGAGATTATGACTAGTGATTGTTAGTCCTTTAGTCGGTGGTAATATACAAGGATTTGTACGAATTTAGTAGTATTGTACGTCACTCATCCAAAATGTGTTTACCGGACTCGTATTGTAATCCCGTATTTGACTTTGTCTCGCACGGGAACAACCACACTCATTTGGTAAACACTTATTTTCAGGACTAGTAACGTAATATACTATTGTTTATGCCTTACATACGGTATTGGTATTTTTACAAGTAGGCCTATATGATGATAAATTATAAAACTTTTCCTCATTAGGGAGTGAAAACACATTTGGACAGACAATGAACTAGGCAGTATTGAAAGTAAAATTTGTTAGTTTTGATCAATGAACAAAATATTTAGCCTACTACATCAAAAGAGCTTTGAATCAACTTATACGTCCTATTAAGTTTTACCAATTTCTCCAGGAAAAAATTAAACCACAGAATCAAGAGTGGATATATTACACACTTTTTAAGTATGGTATGCAACGATAATACTTTACAAATACTCAGTTACCTTGAGACAAATATAATCCAGTACATATTTATACTGAATCCACTATCAAGGTAACATACCTTCAAGGCCTTTGGTCTCTTACAAGCCAGTTTATAAAGGTCGTCTGAAGCGAGTTTGGTCCTTCTTAGTTTGAAGTCAATAGCTGGACCGACCTCCTCTAGTTCAACTCTGGGGGTTTTACTGCCCGACTTCTTCAGGACAACCCTGAAAAAAAAATTGTAGTAACGTTTTAATCCCCTTTCAGCCAAACTCAGTTGTTTAAGCTCCTTTGGTATGACCTAACAACTAAGAAGACCAGAACAATAACTTTGCATTTTAATAACAGTAGAGTTTTTAATTCAAATCGATCATTGCATTTTGAACCTCTAGGCCTTGACTTTTTAATTCTGAAGTAGACATTCCATCAATATGGACCAGCTGTCGCCAATTTTTTTGTAAAACAAACGTAGTTCTGTGAGTTAGTCACAGATTGCGCTAGTGCCTAAATACTATTTTCATCCTTATTCTTAGTTACTGATATACGTAATTGACGGGGCATAACAGATGCTACAGCTTACAATAAGTAGTCCATATCAGTTTAACTTGGTTAGGCCCACGTATTTCTCAAAAAGCAGTAGGTAATTTATATCAAGTACGTCCATTTTTTATAAAAAACTGGGACAAATTTAACACCGCGATTGAATGTCTACTATAATATGGATTAGATTTTAGTAATTTTAAGAAGAAATTGCACAAGTTTTTGGTTAATAGACCATTTAATAAGGTAAATGATTTTTTTAGTTGATATGACAACGATTTTAATAACATTTAATATTAGTCCAGTGCAATTAGACAAAAAATGACCTTGACCCGGACAAAATTGATAACAGGCTGAAAATTGGTGGAAACGTTCAGAACAATGTCCTGAGTGGCCCACACAAAGTCCCAAGAAATCCCAGTTGGGGAACGGCCGCCATCTTGAAAAACTGCCGCCATCTTGGAAATTTAGATTTTTTGCTGTATTTTTTGAAGTAATAGTCCGAAAGGCATTATTTATGTCTCAAATTAAACATTTTGAACTCATGTATGAGTGTAGTATATAATTAAAGAGTTTAATACGTTCTAAGCATAAATAATATTATTTATATTAACCTAAAAATATATCCATAAAAATTATATAAATTTACAAAATATTTACAAAATGAAGCTTTTTTCTTTTGTTCTTAATGAACTTGTTAAAGCCATTAACCCTTTTGGCATTTCATGCAATTCACTCTGTTTAGTCTTTGGAATTGGTTAAATAAGGGGTGAATAAAAAGTCAAGTACCCCCCCCTCTAATATTTTTCTAAGTAAGTATACAGAAATATCCTTTTGGTGGTGTTGCAATCTTAGTAGGAAATTTCATTTGATGATTTTGAAATTTTTGAGTGTCCCCCAAAAAGAGGGAATTTTAAGGGCAACTCAAAAATTTTAAAGTAAATCCTATTCAAGTGACACCTCATCTTGAAGTGTTTACAAAAACTTAAAGAATGGTGAAAACCAGAGTTCCCTATATTTTCTCTATCCAAAATGGTAGCCCGTCAAAAGTTTAATGACGATAGTGTTACATTAATTTTCCTGTGTAGTAAAAAGTAATTCCCCCCCCCTTTAATTTGTTCCTAAGTAAATATTATAGAGTAATACTTTTAATGGTGATGCAACCTTAGCAGGAACTTTCATTTTATGATTTTAAAATCTTTTAGTATTCTCCTCTGTCCAAAATGGTAGCCAATATTACAATTACGAACCAATATTACCATTGATTTTCCATAACGTTTGACGGGCTACCATTTTTGATAAAGATGAAATAGCAAACTCTGGTTTTCACCATTCATAAAGTTATTGTAAACTCATTAAAATGAGATGTCACTTGAAGGGGGTGGGGTGTACGTTTAAAATTTTTGAGTTGCCCCCAAAATCCCCCCTTTTTGGGGAACATTTAAAAATTTCAAAATCAAAAAATGAAACTCCCTGCTAAGATTGGACGACCACCAAAAAGGATATCTCTGTATATTCACTTAGAAAGTATTAGAGAAGGGAGGTATTGACTTTTTATTCACCTAAATGCTGTAATTTGTTATTTATTTATTTATTCCAACGGCAAGATCACCAATTTACAATGTAGATCCAAGAAGCCTAATTGGTAACAACATGCATTTTAACAGAAAACTTAACTAACTTAAATCTATGGCAGGAGCAGAGCAACATCGGTAACAGGAAATTATAATCTTGACTAGGAAAGCATCAATTTAACAATGAAGTACAAAATAAATTATGAAAAAGCAAATAATAATTTCGTTTTTCCGATCTTAAAAATAGAATCATCTAGATATAGTTGCTATAATTGATTACCATTATATTTTAATATTGCATATAAACTTATAATGTAACTACTCGCGGTTAAATGTTATTGTCGGCGATGTAATCTTCGTTGTAACTATCGCGGTTGGCACATCCGTGTCCAGTGCAGTATCCATGCATCGTGGTGCATTTAAGACCATAAGGGTAGCTGTACTGTATCCATGAATCCATTCCAACCTGGACTTGGTTTGTCACTCAGTTGGTAGTTAATGAGCCATAGGGTGTCAGCAAGACAAGCATCTACAACCATTTTTGGTTCGGAAAGGGCTGTACTGACATCTACCAATACTACTAAAGATGTCCCAGGCTTAGGCGGACGTTGATAAGGTGTCACTGACTGAAAGCCATGAGATGAAGGACACTTTTTAGTTTGGGATTGTAGATCGTGGTACAGGAGCACTTGCATTGACACATTTTGGCTGGTGTTATGCACTCAATGTCACCCATGGCGTGAAGAGTACCATGTCCGTCAAGTGTTTTAAACGTTGTAATCCGCGTTGTCGAAAACATAATGAACGTTCATCTATTGAAGGTGAGACATTATCAGCTATCGAAGTCTCATAATTGACCTTCTTGTATGTCGAGCAAACTCCGAGCTACGATATAATGTCTAACAGCAACTACGAGCCATACCGTCTGTGAAGGCCGAGCAGCAGGGGCGATATGAAAGATCGTGGTCGAGCTGCAGCAATAATTGCATGAGCTGTATTAGTTGTCTCCTCTTTAAAGCTTTATCATAGTTAAATGGTTATTATATTTATATTTAACCAATTTCAAAGACTAAGCATTGTGGGGTGCAAGAAATTTCAATAGAAATTTCAAGAAATTTCTCTTTTTTTGTAATGGCTTAAACAAGTCCATTACAAAAAAGAGAAAAAGCTTATTTTGTATATATTTTGTAAATTTATGTCAATTACTTTAGATGAGGACGCCACTATGTGCGTATTTTAACAAAATATGAGTGAAGGATGAGTGTAGGATGAGTGGCGCGATCTTGTAGTCTTGTTAGTGACTAAGGCCGACATGTTCCTTAGACACAAATGTTAATTAATAGCCCATACAGCTAATGGCAACTAAGGGACCTACAGTTTATAGTGGAATCCGAACCACATTTTTTCCTTGTAATTAACGAATTGGTATAATTATCAGGATAGTACTGCGGATAGTCATAGTACTCACTTGTGCGGACGTTAATCCACACCAGGGAGCATCGCATCCACCTTGCATGCCTATAAATATCCACAATTCGTATAAAAGGGGGGACATAACCGTATCTATATCGTTATTATAGATATTTTTAGCTTAATATAATTAAAATTTATGCTTAGAACATAATAAACTCTTTAATTATATATTATTCTCATACATGAGCCCAAAACGTTTAATTTGAGACATGAATAAGGTCTTTCGGACAATTACTTCAAAAGATACAGCAAGAAATCTAAATTTCCAAGATGGCGGCAGTTTTTTCAAAATGGCGGCCGTTCCCCAACTGGGATTTCTTGGGACTTTGTGTGGGCCACTCAGGACATTGTTTTGAACATTTCCACCAATTTTCAGCCTGTTATCAATTTTGTCCGGGTCATAACCTAATTGCACTGGACTATATACCTTTAAATCCCTAGTTTCATTTTTCTTTTCATGTAAACATGTTGAATTTTGAATTTTATTAGTAGCCTACTCTGTGAATTCTGATACCGTAGTATGTCTAGTCAGTGCATGGTCGCCTTGTAGGCTATTATATCAGTTAAATTTATTCATAGTCAAATAGAATTATAGCCCCTTGGTTCACTATTAGTTTGTTATCTCTTTTTTAATTAATTTTGCTTAACGTTGCTTAAGAAAGACTGGAATCTTCAACAAATACTTATGTATGCTCTAAATTTGACCTGTCAATACATATACAAATGTTAAAAGACCAATAAAATCTTATGTCTTACGTTTTACTCAAATAGTCAAAGCTTTAGGTCTTTTAAGCCAAGACCAAATAATAATCTTCACACCATATTGTTCTCATACATTATGAAGACTAATAAACAACGATAAAAAAAAACTGACAATCTGAATAGCAAAGAAATAAAACATGAGTTTTTTTATTTTAATGATGATCACTTTGTCTGTTGAATGGATAAGTGGTCTAAGAAATCATCTCCTCAGCCAGGAAACACCAGTTGAGATTGAGGGGTTGACCCTGAATCACTAAGGTCTGACATGCAACTTCCGAGGAGTTTACTGGTCTTTGGCTGAGCATCTTTGGTCACCCATCTAAAATTACCAGTGGACAGCTTGGGTGGAAGTGTGGCTGGCAGCCTCTTTCGCCTGTGTGTGGAACATGTTATCCCGCAAAGCAAGAGGTGAACCAGTGTCCAGTACAGCACAAGAGTTGACCCATTGATAAAATATAGTAGCAGGTACAAAGATCCAGATTCACGACATCGCTGCCATGGACCCAAAATCTGTGACCCTACCAACTCACTGACTCACCAATTGCACCCATTTATGGAATTTTGCCAATTTCCCTTGCTTACTGAAACCTTATATACCCGGGCAGCGAAAATATGTTTTAGGCTAATAAGGCCTACAAATATGGATTTTAGTGTTTAAAAGTTCAGAAAAAACATTGATAAAATAAAAATCTCCTAAATAAATATATTATAAAGCTTATAAAGGGTGAAGTAAACCTAAATAATGTAAAAATAAACAAATAGGTAACTAAAACTGCAGTATATTAAACTAATGAGTGATACAAACCTATAACTCCTCATGTATATTTTGTCCCCATCTGCTGTAAACATAATCACATGTTCGAGTCCTTGGAGTCTTACAGCCTTAACAGTCTCTCTTTGCAGAAAGTCCACCAGAAGATTCTGAAACCGCTTGAGGTCAGGGTTTTGATCAAACTGGGGTCCAGCAAACAACAGGCACGGTTTGATCCCGACGGCGACTTTCTCCGATGTGAACTCCGAGAAACCCTTGTAACTCTCAATGCCAAGTTCGACCATGTCGAGAAGTTGGTCATCGTACATTCTACCTGCAAAATGTATAAAACTAAACCACCATATTCTTACAAAGATTTTTTTCCATAGAACTACTAGGGCGTAAAGTGACTCTTATCAACTGCCTTGATCAGAAAATTAGCGAGGGTTGTTTGGATATTATCTGACTTTTTTCTAAGTACCAACTTTTCTGCGCTATCACAACTAACATAAAGAATTCAAACCAATATTTTCCTTACCTATTATTACATTGTGGGGTCGTTTCTTACTGTGTGAAGCGAATGCAAATAATGAAGCATTATATTTTCGGGCAAAACCTTCAACTGGTACAATGTTTTCAAAAGGTAAGATGTCATTCTTTTTATTCAAGTTGACAGCGTCTGGCTTTTTCAATAAGTACTGAAACACAGAAAACATAGATTAGAATACATTAATTGATCCTCCGCTCAATGAGACGAAAATGTATAAACTTATATTGCCATGAAAATAATTTAAAACTAAATGACAAATAGAGCCCCCACTCACCAGAATATTCAATTGGCCTAAGGTAAAATTATTTGATCCAGGCCTATTTTCCTTCATCATGGTTCAGTTTATAAAATAAGTTAGTGTGCTTGAAATTCAAATTGCAAAAACTGCTTTGAATCTTGAATCTTTGTGATTATTAATTCAGTGTAGGTCTCACTAAGCCTATCTGGAGCTGGAAACAAAACTAAAACTACCTACCAAAGAGATATTATAACTTACAAAATAATTGAAATAACCACACAAACTTACTAAATCCAACAAACAGTTCCGTGTAATATCACTTGTGTTTTTCCCTTTGATGAACAAGCACTGTTTGGTATTTTCAATCAATTTCGGCTCTTTATCAATAAGTGCTTTTTTTCCTTTGTGAGTGATAGGTCTCCTGAAAAAATTGAACAAATCATAAGTAGAAACACCTAAGTTAGGATAAAATTCTTCCTTGGATGATAAATTGTTAAACAATAAATATTAGGCCTACTCAATTTATGGTAGGAACCATAGGTAATGGACTCAAGTTAATGCAGCTCTAATAAAATAGCTTTGAGAATATATTTTATGATACTTGATACTTACTTACTTGATACTTGTGTGCTGCGTCGTTGACCGACAATGTCGGATAGACTGCGTTATTATATAATAATAATATTGTATGTATAATTGTATGAGTCAAGGCATAGGCCTACCAACAAGTAGGCAGGCTTAGCGTCAAAATATGCACCACGCACAATAAGCATTTTATCCCTCAACCTCAACCCGTTTTTATTCCTCTCATGATCTAATGATCCTGGGTAGGCCTATGTACTGTATTCACATACCTTAATACTTTAATATTAATATATACCTCCTCTAATAAGGCCCCTGCAACACTGAAGTGGCTTACCAAGACAGCTGTCACTAAGTAATTCGGAGTGTCTGCGCAACGCTAATGTTTAACACGTTTGCTACCAATCGTCAACTATAGTTATATCGCAGGGGAGACACTCCGAATTACTTAAAGTGACAGCTGTCTTGGTAAGCCAGGATTGCAGTGTTGCCACTTTGGTTTGCTACCAATCGCCAACTATAGTTGACACCAGACCTGAGAGAGAGTTAAGTCACTGCCCTAACCTGCCAGATTCCCTTTCGGACCAAACTTAGACACCAAACATATCCACAGACCAATCTGTTCTATTACTTTTTCTGATCAATCAGGGACTAAATAATATTTATTTACATTAAGTTCAATTTCAATAAAAAATGCAATCATGTATCAGTCAAATTATATCAAAACACTGCAAATTCGACTTAAACAATACTTTTAACCAATCACAAGTCGTTATTAGATAAAAATTATCGTTTTAATAATAGGTTGGTTTATCCGGCTAGGGGCTCGGTCCCATGTAGGCCGGATATGAGGGGTTTTACTGTATCGAGGTCTTTATCTAGTAGTTAGTATGTCGATCTATATCTATAATGTAAAACAAATAACATGTTACAGTATTATGAACACACACCAACTCTCTTGAAGAGGACTGTGTCAACTAACGCATTAAGACCTGTAGAAATTTATGTGTAAAAATATGCGGCCGCACTTTACTTTAGGTCCTACACTCATTCGAATGAAAATATCGATTAATCGATTGTTTAATTCGATATAGGCCTACCGTTTGGTTAGTTAGGTAAGGTAAACTTAACCTAACTAACCAAACGATATATCGAATGAAACAATCGAACAATCGATATTTTTATTCGAATGCGGGTAGGACCTAAAGTAAAGTGCAGCCAAAAATGCTGCCAGTTAACTTAAACTTATACAGAAAAATGACAACACTATAGCAAGAATATCCAAACAGGGTGGATTTGTCAAAAGTGAAACATTTGCCTCAAGCCTTCTTATAGAATTAAATAAAAATTTACAACATAATCTACTTACACGATCCTTTGCATGACGGCAGGCATGGTATCCTCTAAAAATGTCAATTAATATTAATTAATGGTGTTTGCAGTGTGCAGACAACTTAAGTTAATAGGAGATTCGATGTTTTATTGAAATAAATAAAGTGTTCAGGTTTAAGTTCAACCCCAAGAACAAGAACAAACATAACCTACGAATGACAAAAGTAATGACAACATGTGAAGCGATCAGTGTTGCCAATCCAATTTCGAAAATCAATTTCTGTTCTTTTTCCTTACCTCACTCGCTCACTCAGCCATAGATTAAGTACACTCCCAAGAAGTTATACGGGTTCATGATGTTTAAGTAGGTCATGAACTAAAACCATGACAAAAATTCGGTGACCTTTGGTCAGTTCATCACCCAACCCAAACCACAATCCAATCAAAATTAATCAAATATAAGTTTTTTCCTTCAAAAAGCTAAATCCAAGTTTATAAGCCATTTAAACCCATTTTCATTTTCACATAATAATAAAGTACTATGAAGATGAAGTGAATACTCAAATAACAAATTATAATTGGCCTTTTTGAACATTAAAATTTAGTTATAATATATATATATATGTATATATTAAATTCATTAATAATTTTGCCAATATCTCCAATAAGTTAACGATATATAAACGTTAAGTTACCTCGTTTTGTCTGTACTCGTTGTACTCTGTAGTTTGTTGTTATTGTTTGTTTACATCTGTAAGTTTTCATAACCTCAAATTTGCTTCATCACTCTACTTCAATCTTCAATCAGTCTTAGTGATGGGCGATACGGACGCGTATCGCGATACAGCGATACGATACGTATCGGGAAAAAATATCGTATCGCCGTATCGAATCGGGCGTATGTATCGCGATACGCGAATCGTATCGTCAAAAATATCGAAAAACAATACGTATCATATCGTTTCCCCCCTCCCCTACCTAACCTAGAAACGGCAAATTTATATAAGTACCTGGGGACCAAGCTTTGCTCGAGGAAAATCATTAGTTTACTCTGAAAACAGTCTTAGTATTGCAGATACATATTTCCATTTCCACACTCCACACTGCTCGCCTTTTCTACTTCCTTCACAACTCCCTACGTCTTGGACCTGTTTCCCTATCCTTCCCATAGCATTTTAGGATTGCAGATACATTAATGTAATTGCCACAGCCACAGACAGTTCCCACATTCTGCAGTCTGCAGTCTGCACTGCTAGTGCCAGACTGCCATAGCCATAGCACGCTAGTGGAAATGGACTGGGATGGGATCACTGAGTTATCAATCTAACTGGAGGTAGCACTGAATGTCAAAGATGCGTGTCGCCAGCCGCCATGTTTGCGTGAGGCGGGTGTCATGTCATAAGAAGCCATGTTATTGCTATGACAAGAAAACTCACTGCTATACCAACCTAGTTATAAGAAGCCATGTTATTGCTATGATAAGAAAACCCACTGCTATACCAACCTAACAAAATCAGCGACACGCTTTTGACAGACTTCTGCCATGGCTGTGCTACCTCCAGTTATAATTTTAGCTCAGTGGATGGGACTGGTACATTATCAAGTAAAAACCAAAAATACAAACATCAAAAACTCCTATTTCAAACTACACATCCACAGAGTACAGATTTTGCAGTTTGCTGGGCCTGCGCAAAAAAGCTTAAAAATATCGTTTTGACATGAATCGTATCGCTCTATGTGCCGATATAAATACAAATATCGTTTTAGGCGATACGATACGTATCGTTTTTCAAATATCGTATCGAAATATCGTATCGTCCCTCGCGTATCGCGATATTCCGATACGATACGATACGTATCGCACATCACTAATCAGTCTTCTGTTCTTTCCCTCATAGCCAGCAGAAATAATTTAAAGTTTAAACAATTTAATATTTTATTTGCATAGCTTTAATGCGCTAGCTAAGTATTTGTTTGAGTTTTGTGTAGTTTGGTAACTTAATATTATCAATAATATGACATCTATAAATTCAATTACAATTCTGCAGAGTGACTGGGATGATATACTGTGGTATGTTAGCCTATGATAGGCCTATTTAATGGTATTTACATGAGTTAGTTATATTAATCATCATATTTGGACAGGGACCGGAAATCCAATAAACTAGTTTTAAATAGTTTAAAAAGTTTGGGCACAGTTCCACAGAGAACCTGCGATATATCGGTAGAAGTATCAATAACTTATATTAGATTTTGAATCGGTTCAGTTTATCAGTTCTACAATATAAAATTTTGTTATGTATTGAGTTATGACCTGTTTACGTTTTTATTGATGTTTCTGTCAATATTCAACCAATACTCAATATTTTATGAAAGTTAACAAAACAAACAATAAGGCCTAGGCCCTAACTAAGTTTTTAAAATTTAACTTATTACAGTAGGCCTAATATAAGTTAATTACCACATAAGGTGTCTAACATTTATATTTTAGTCTATTTAATTTTTAGACGTGCAAATTTACCATAAAACTAAGGACAAAATAAACAACTTTAAATGTTTTATTGTTATTGTCAGACTGGGACAGTGGCGTCGTCCTGTAATCCAGCAACTAGGAGGTCACGAATTGTGGATATTTCCATGTGAGTGTTTTGCATGCATTGTGGATGCGATACTCCCTGGTGTGGATTAACGTCCGCACTAGGTAGTACCACAACTAAGTTATCCGGGGGCAGTAATATTATAATAATTAGACCAATTCCTTAATTACATGGTGAAATGTGGTTCGGATTCCACTGTAAACCGTAGGTTCCTTAGTTGCCAAATTGGCTGAATGGGCTAGGTCTATTAATTAAAAGCTATGTCTAAGGAACGTGTCGGCCTTAAGTCACTAAGACTACAAGATACCGCCACTCATCCTACCCTCATCTCCATTCATACTTGGCTTAAACCTAAAATACCGGTACCTACATTGCTATGGTCTCCATTTCAGAGTAAAGTATTAAGTTAAAGTATATTATTTACAGGCATATCACATGGTAAAATTAAATTCAATGTGATATTTATATCAAGCCATTTTAATTTATCTTAACCCGATAATGTATTGCAGGTTCTCTGTGGAACTGTAGCCAGTTTAAACAGTAGACAGTAGAAATAGTAGATGGGATATCTTATTTGATGAAATGTCGTGATAAATTGAAGAGAAAGACAAATTTTCTTAAGTTATGTAGGCCTACTAGGATGTTAAGTTATTTGTTACCCAAGAGTATTCCGCACAAACCCTGTGATATATATTATTCGGTTCTATATTAATATCACGCATAGATAATTAACTTGACCATAATATAATTACGGTACCTATACAAAAACATTAAAAAAGTTGTTTGTTTATTTTATCCTTTGTACGACTAAAAATGGAGGAAACTATAGATTTTTGAACTCTTATGAGGTAGTTTTGAACTCTTTGTACCGGTAGTTATGAGGCTAACTAAAATAGTTTTAGTTTTTTAAAAGAACAAAGCTTGATAAAAAAAAAGAAATAAAACATATGAAATTTACGGCAATGAAGTGAAAACAAGGATCAAAGAAGAAAACCAAGTCAATTGTAGGTATTTGTTTTGGCCTAAGTATGTTTTTTCCAAATTTTGCTTATAAGCTTATTGTTTGTTTTGTTAACATGTATAAAATATACCTATTTAGTTTTTGGTTTGAATATTGTTTGTTTAGTTTATTAAATAATAATGAAAAAGTACCTAGGCCATAAAAGATTGGCTCAATTTAATGTTTGCATTTATTAAACAACAATAAGATCATCACTAAATTCTACGTTTGAATAGAAAAAAAATAATATTTTGGAAACAATACATCAAACCGAATCAAAATGTATATAGCCTATATCAAAACCGACTGGTCCCATGTTCTCTGGGGAACTGTAACCTTTTTCAGGCTACCTTACGATTTTTATTTAATTTTCATACTTGCTTATTTTTTAGGAAATTAGAAGGAGAAGTATGGGTTGTCTATAAGAAGAAAGGTAAGTTATCAACATTGCCTGTAATAAAACTCTAAACATTTTACAACACCTAGGCTAGGCTCAGCCAAACAAATGGAACCTAACTTACAATCTGACACAAAAAACAACATCTTAGAGCTATGGGGAGAACAGGAAGGTGGAAGGTGTCTTCAATCAGGGGAGATTTTTCCCATTGTCTTGTATGTATTTCGTCAATGGAACATTAGACAATATTCCATTTCATCACAAGCCTTAAAGGGAATTATTTCTTTACTTAAAAAAATCAATCTATTAGCCTAGGTAACTAGTGTGACATGCCTCGACTTAAGTTATAGGCCTAATAATTTTAAATGGTCTCTAGTCAGGATTGTTTTTCACATTACCGTACTTCACCCTAGAAATAGAAGTTGGGGCATTATCATATATGTAAAATCCATCTTGGTGATTAGCTGGATTTGAACCCAGGACCTAGAGGACCAAAATAAATTGCTCTACCACTACACCAGATTGCTTCCTACCGCAACATAGCCTACACTGTGTGTTTTAAGGGTAAAATCTTTCTTAAAATGTCAATCACATGATTGTGTTGTATAAAAAATGTATATTTTTTAAAGATTATATAATAAAACTAGTCATTCTTCTCTAGATGAGAAAAGCATCCAAGGCAAATTGAGATGTGTTCAAATCGGCACTAGTGGTTTGCCGAAGATCACAGGCACGAATGGCTTTGCTGTGGAAAAAGTCGGCAAAGATTTCATTCAAGTCAAGTACAAAGACGCACCATTCACAAGCTTGTTTCTCGCTGCATCAAAAGTCTACTCTGGAATCCATAAAAAAGGGGTAAGATGTTTGGTAGCCTAACTAAGATTAAGATATTTCATTATCTTTGTTTTTTGTCTTTCTCTGATGTTCCTGAGGTACTTCCCTGTTACTAGAGTGGTAACAAAGAGCAAGTCAAGAATGCAGGTTTTGTTATCTCATCTCACTAGTCCCTATAGTGTACTCCATGAAATCCACAAGGGGGTTTTAAAAATTAACCTTGTTTTAATAAAGGACTAAAACGTTTGGAAAATTACGCTGTTGTAGTTATATTTTATTATTATTATTATTTGTAGTTATATTATTATTGTTGTTATATTTTACTATCAACTATAGTGGTTTATATTACCTTGTTACTCTACTGTCCAAAACAATCCTTTGTAGTTTGCTAGAGAGACAAGTCTTTTGCAGGGAGAATTAGAGAACTCCACTTCGAGGAATATAATGACGACTCGACATTTTTCTGACCTCATGATGTGCTTCTTAAGAAGCACAAAACAGCTGTTAGTCCTTGCAAACTACAAAGTATTGTTTTAGATTTGGACAGTATAAACAACTATAGTAAATCCAGAGGCCAATTCCATCATGAAATTTTACTTTCAACTGTTTGGTTGGAGATCAATAGTCATTCATACTGATTTAAGTAGTTTATACAAAAAGCTCAGCTGAATGACTAGACTATTGTTTTACGGTACTCTTTGTCATGAAGATAAAATGGAGAAGCTAATACCAATAGGTTTCTATTAAAATTATAGAATTTACGGGATTGATGGTATACTATAACGGTAAGCAGTGTATGAATTACATCAACTATGTGTCTTACTGGAGACAAGTTTCTCATGGAGTCTTACAAAATTCAATACCGTACTTGGTCTTCTCTTTATTTTTTCCTCTGATTACATCAGGTTGTGGGGTTTAATGTTGTCCTCATTTTCAGATTACATCACTAAGTGTATCGTCTAAAGGTCTGAGCGTCTCAGTTTGCAAGGACAACCAACTTTTAGTTTGGGATTTCAATCAAGGAGAACTAAAGGTAACTATACAGGGTGACAAAAAAGTCTGGAAACGGCTTGATATCTTTTTAACTAAATTTGTTCGAAAATTAAAACTTTTCACATCATCTTATATGTATGAAAACTACTTTTTGCAAGCATTACCATTTTTTGACCTTCACCAGGGGACGGCCCATGAGGAGTAGGTACATAATCTTTAATGTAAGCATAGATTGATATGCACGTCATTTTAAAGATCTGGTCAAGTGGAGTTCATTGCCGGAAACCGCGTCAAAAAAGGTTCATCCACTACAAAATGGCGGCAGTCCAAAGTTCTTGCGGAATATACCTGCAGAGGCCTTAGAATTGGTAAATACTCATATTCAACATTAGCCGGGAAATCTGAAACCCGTTTAAATTTGTTTCGAAGATTGAATAATATTAGTCTATGAGCTAGTTGACTTTAAAATACAGTTTCAGCTCTCAAGCTAATGTTTAATACGAGTATTTACCAATAGTAAGGCCTGTGCAGGTATATTCAACAAGAACCTTTGACAGCCGCCATTTTGTAACGAATCAACCTTTTTTGACACGGCTTCCGGCAATGAACTTCACTTGACCAGACCTTTAAAATGATGTGCATATCAACCTATGCTTACATTAAAGATTATGTACCTACTCCTCATGGGTCGTCCCCTAGTAGAGGTAAAATACCCCCGCCGCAGCAAACCTGCAGACTAAGCGAATTTCCATTAGCCTGATAGGATTTACACTAAAATGTCTCCTTAAAAAAATAATGATTGTTCTGTGGAACCTTTGATTGTTTCAAACAGTTTTGCTTATCAAAAATCCTCAAGTAATTAATATATAAAAAAAAAAAAACATCGCCACAAACAAATTGAGAACCTCCTCCTTTTGTTGGTAGTGGAGAAGTCGGTTAAAAATATCATATTTATTCCCTATTTAAATAGAATTAGTTAAACGAGTACTTAGGTTTGCTGCAACAGGGAGGGTAAAACGGTCGTTTTTTTATGTTAATAGGTTAGTAAGAAATTAATGTATTTTCCAAATTCGATCAAAATATGTTAATAAACAAGCAAACTACAACAGTTGACTTTTTCTCCATAAGAATAACATAGGGATTTTAAATTTACAGTTTTTTGGAATTTTCTCCGTAACCATTAGGCGCACAATAACGCGTCAATATACTTAATTATTTGTTTTTTTATGCTCTACAAAATGGTGTGAAAAGAAATTGTAAAATTTTGCGTTTTTAGGGTCAAAAATGGGAAAAACCTATTTTTACCCCATAAAACCCCCCATAAACCCCCGTTCCCATAGTCCGATCATGCTGGTTCGCGAACTCGTTCGAATAAATGTAGGTTTACACGTTTGTACTAAATTTCATCAAAATCGGATGATTTTTGCTCGAGTTATCGTGCTAACGGACACATATATATATATATATAAATATATATATATATATATATGAATTTGAACGGATGGTGTTTTTGGCCTCTAGGGACCTCAAAACGAAAAAATAAATCGATACCGGGTCCAGGTCTTACCATGAGTACTACGGTAATAGCTTATTCCCTATATGGGAAATTCGCTAAAAATGATAATTCTTGGAAAAAGTAGTTTTTATACATGTAAGTTGAGGTGGAAGGTTTGAATTTTCTAACGAATTTAGTTAAATAGATATTAAACCGTTTCCAGACTTTTTTGTCACCCTGTATATTATCTAAGTGAAGATCAAGTTGTAGACCCTCATTAGGATAGTATAAAAAAAATCAATAACCATAAGCCAAAGGAGAAAGTTTTTAGCATAACGTTTTCTTATTAAAACATAACTGAAAAATAAAAACAACCTCAATTACAACAACAACTGAATCAAAACCCAATTAACAAGACTACAAACTAAACTAAGGTAAAAAAATCACATTACTCATCACATTAAGAAAATGCCACAAGCTACTAAACCTATGTCCCTACACCATCATAAGCATTTGGTGAATGTGGTGTGTGACGGTAAGCACATTTTGGCACATCTTTAAGTGAGACTGGTAGATACTGTATTTACTGATGGTAAATTTTTTCTCATTAGCTCTGTTTAACCCATTTGCATCGGATGACGTACCAGTACGTCAAGTCAGTGATGTACAGTATCACGGCTGACGTACTGGTACGTCATCCATGAAATTTGAAAATTAGTTTTTTTTTTTAATGAACCATTTATACTTTTACAATATATACTTATAATATTTAAATTTGTTTATCAAAATATTATGTTCCTTTAATGATTTCATATTTACGTAATACAGGCAGCTATTTAACTATTTTTATGAGAAGTATGAAAAATAGTGAAAACGTGTGCTAAATACATATACAAATAAAATATAAAATTTTATACCTATACATTATATGTTTTATATTATTTTCAGCTATAAAATAAGTTACTATAAAACAAAATAAAAAATAGTCTAATATTTTTTCAGGCAGGTATATGTATATATTTTTTTGAGAAATACCTATATAAAATAGTGTAAACATATCCTAATCCTAAATACATACAAATATACATAAAAAATTCAAAAAAATATAAAAATTTAAATTTTATTATTATTTTCAGCTATAAAATACTATAAATCATAATAAAAAGTAGTCAAATGCCTATTTTATTATTTTAAATGTTTCAGTGATACTGGGAATTTTGGTAAATAAATAAAACGGTGCAAATGGGTTAATGAGGTAGATCTTAGCTACCTATGCTACCTATCACAACGTCAAGGTAGCCAAATTGTTAAAGATCTCAACTTCAAACATGAAGTTCGCTAATTCAATTCCATGTTCCGGATGCAGATCCCATTTGTCATTGGGCTGTCAATAATTAATTATGCTGTCTAACAAAAGGTTGATGTAAGATAGAAGACAGGGGTAAGTACCTTTTCCGTACAAAAAAAGTAAAAAAAAAAAATCTACAAGGTTAGGCTCGTCACACATTGCGTCCGGTCCAGTAAAATCGGATCGCATGCCGAATCAGGTAAATTCGAAAACCATTAATTCACTGCATCCGGTCCGGTGCGTCAGGTGCGGTCCGGTAAAATTATTTCGGTCGAGAAGCGATAGGCTTCCGGCAAGCTTCCAACGCCGGTGAGCTCGCGCATGCGCAGACGACTTCTACTCACCTCGTGACAGTGACAGTAGCAGCAGACGTGGTTTTGTGGTTATTGTTTACGCTATACGACTTGTAACAAAATGTCATTGGAAGGGAAACTGATTGTGCTAGTACAGGCGTACCCTGTGCTATACGACCTAGGCCATAAGGACGTTTATACTGTGCACCCACAACCTCTTCTGTCGCAGACGCTCTTCCTCTTCCGAAGCAAGAGCTGCTGCAACTACGAAGATCTCTTCTTCACTGTAACTGTCACTCATTGCTTTAGGGAAATTTGGTTAAAACTAACTACTGTATGTTGTTGGTTAAACACTTCTTCAACTCACAATACCGCTGTCCTCGCATAGGCTCAGACTGGTCGCCGGAACTGGAACGCCTGATGCAGTGTGTGAAGATTTGCCTCCGATTTTACCCGACCGGACGCAGTGTGTGGCGAGCCTTAAGGTTATTTTTATCAATGTCTAAAAATGTCGTTTGGATCTCTAATAGTGCTCAACAGAATCCCATTTCAGGATGCTTCAGTGATGGATAAGTTAGTCATTATAAAAGTAATTATAAATTTTTGTGCAATTAGCATTTGTAATTATTATTTTTACCATATAGTATCACAGAAAGTTACTGTTGACAGTGCACATTGTCGGGCCACGTTGGGGATGTATACAAGTGCAAGTTCTTCCCGAGCGGGGTCGTGGTGCTGTCTGGTGGCGCAGACATGCAACTAAAGGTGTGGTGTGCGATGACTGGAAAATGTCCAGTAACTCTCACAGGGCACACCATGGCTGTCACCGACTTTGACTTTATAGACAAGGGAAAGAATATCCTCTCTGTCAGCAAGTAAGTGGCTTTAGTTCTAGTAACGTGTCTGTCCGAGTACATCTTTCTTCATGCTTACTGCTATGACCACTAATACCCTAGCTGGTAGCCTACTTGGCCTCGCAAACATGTTGTTGCCGATTCTCTCAGTCCCCCGAATCTTCCTCTACAAATCTCATTGTTTCCATATCTTTCTTCATATTAGTAGGTAGTAAATAAAAATGTAAATTTTAATTGATGATTTGATGATGAAGTAGATTTACTTTTGTTGGTCTTAGTGTGATAAACTACCATACCACATTGTTTTAATTTCTAACCACATTTTTAGAATCTAAGTAAACAAACGTATTTTTTAGCGAATTTTCCATATAGGGAATAAGTTAATTTTTGGTTTAAGGTTTTGTAGATTTTAGGGAAACTTTCTGTAGAAACCTATCTGAATAAGGTGGTAAAGGAATTAAAATATGAAATAGTCCTTTACTGTGACAAACACACCTTGAAGGACAGTTCGAAAATAGCGATATTGTCACAGTAAGTTATTTCAGATTACTGTAATAAGCCTTGGGTTTGACAGCGGGTTTTATGAAGTTTTTAGCTGTACATTTTGACCAAAAATAATCTGCTGCCAGGTTGATCACCCCCCCCCCCCCAATAATTGTAGATGTATAATGCTAACACAAGGTAATTTGACAGCACATTATTACTGTATTTTATAGAAACACCTAGGTGATATCCTTGATGATTGAGATTTTAAGATACCTCAGAAATCACCTTGCTCCATTATTCCAAGGCAACACTTAATAAACTGGCCGTAATGCTCCTCCAGCATGACGTCATCATAGGCTTGTTTTCTGAATCTTTTCTTGGAAAACAAAAATATAACTTTTATCAGACAAACGGCAAACATTAGGTCATTGCCATCGCCTATGATAATGTCATGCCAGAGGAGCATTACAGTTTATTTAGTGTTGCCTTGATTATTCCCTGCGATCATATCCAATTTAAAATATGTACTCAAAGTAAGTATTTCATGGCCTTAGTGAAGTGTTTATGTGATGTGTAGCTACTTATAGACTTGGATCAGCTTTATGCATAGTCTTTTCTCCCTTCCATTCTAGTCACAGTTTACTGTTTTGTCACAGGGACGGGACAGCCAAGTTATGGAGTTGTAGTGCCGCGTGCTGCATTGCAGACATTGCCAAGCTGAGCTCCACAATCAACTGTTGCCACGTGTTTTCTGCTCCGTTCTTGTCTCTCGGTGTACCTTCGGATCCACCCAGTGAGTATTTTAGTGAAGGTCCAAAAATGTTTAAATTATAGATTGGAATCAGTTATCTTCAGTTTCCATAACCAATGTTAGTACAATTATTATGTTAGGATTTACCGTATTCATCTTTTAACTGTAAGTCTAGAATATAATTAGCTTCAGTGATAATTAACAACATTTAGTATGTGTCCAAGCACTTTTAGCGAATTTCCCATATAAGGATTTTTTTTTTGTCAAATGACGCTAGGCACGAGTCTGGAATTGTTTTTTACATTACTTCAGGCTAGACCTAGGGGTTGCGGCATTATCACTTAGATAAAATCCATTGGTGACTTGACGGGGATCGAACCCAGGACCACAGGGACTGAAGTCCCGCGCTCTAACCACTACGCCAGCTCGCTCCCCCCCACATAAGGAATAAGCTATTACCGCAGTGCTCATGGTAAGACCTGGACGCGGGACCGAGGCCAAAAACACCATCCGTTCAAATTCATATATATATATATATTAGGGATGGTCAAGTCTCGAAATTTCGGGAAATTTTAAATCTCGTTACACGAGACGAGATTTCTTTTTGGCCAAGATTTTTATCGAGACGGGAATAAAAAAAAAAAATTAAAAACCCCTGCAGAAAGTCAATGCAATAGGAGCGTGTTGTAGTTGCGTTTCCTTTGCGAAGGCGTTCTTATTTAATTAATTCTTTAAATGTAAATATTACTTTAATTATTTTTATAATATTACTTTAATAACATTTGAGAAGTTTTGTTAAGTGTAAGCAGTGTGAGGAATGTTTTATTACTATAAAAAGTCAAAACAAGTAACTATTTTATACAAATTAATATTGCTTTTATTTTATGATTTATTTTATTTTAGGATAAGTTGAACTCTATCCTAACTGATATCACTATGTTTCCTAATCGTAGGCATTTTTAATAAGTTAGGCGTGATTAATAAAAAAATGTTATGCTGATGTTTTTTAATAAAAGATTGTAAGTATTCTTGCCTATTATCATTATTTTTGTATTTAAACAGTCATCTAACAATGTTATAAAATCAGGTAAAAATTTTGAACGTGCATTTCCCGTTGTGTATGAGAAGGGAAATCCCGTCTCGATCTCGTCTCGAAATTTTATGAGAAATAAAAAATCTCGTCTCGTCTCGTCTCGAACTAAAAATCCAATCTCGTCCATCTCTAATATATATATATGTCCGTTAGCCTTGATAACTCGAGCAAAAATGATCCGATTTTGATGAAATTTAGTACAAACGTGTAAACCTACGTTTATTTGATTGGGTTCGGGATCCAGCATGATCAGACCATGGGAACAGGGTTTTATGGGGTAAAAATAGGTTTTTCCCATTTTTGACAAAAAAAAATTTAGCAATTTCTTTCCAAACCATTTTGTAGAGCTTAAAAAAAACAAATAATTTAGTATGAAGCGTTATTATGTGCCTAATGGTTATGGAGAAAATTCCAAAAAAAAAAATTGTAAATTTAAAATTCCCATGTTATTCTTATGGAGGATAAGTAAACTGTTGTAGTTTGCTTGTTTATGAACATATTTTGATCAAATTTGGAAAATGTTTTTATTTCTTACTAACTATTAACATTTTACAAAAAAAAAACAAAAAAAAAACAGTTTTATACATTTCAGTGTAAATCCTATCAGTCAAATGGAAATTCGCTTAGTCTGCAGGTTTGCTGCAGCAGGGGTATTTACCTATAGGTTCTCCTCAACTATAGAGGGATAGGCTCATAAAATTAGCCAGTGAATTTGTACCAAACATAATTCAAAACAAATTTTTACAGGTGAAGAAGAGGTTGAAACGAAAGACAAAGCTGTGCTCCTCGGCTGTGAAGACGGAAGTGTTCATTGTGTCGCGGTCTACAGCCGCAAAAAACTATTTTCTTTCAACTGCAGTACGGCAGTAAACACTGTAACTACACTGTCAACCTCCTATTTCATCGTCGGATGCCACAGTGGTGAAGTGTTCTTGTTCGACATAAAAGACGCAAAAGCTCCAATCGAAACGTGGTTTGAATCAAACAGTGCGGTTCTGTGTGTTGTGGCTTTCAAAGAGGAAGGATTCTTCTGTTCCCACGCAGACGGGTTGACGGTTTATCGGAATGTGAGACTGGACGATAAAAGGGTAGTTTTAACCGGACCAGACTGCGATCCTGTTTACGATATTTGTACGGACAATCAGTTTGTCTACACGTGCAGCAGAGATGCATTGATCAGGAGATATAATGTAGAACGGATCATCCAGCAATTTGTTAATGAGTGATTAAACTAGTTAAGGAGTTATTTGTTGTATCTTGACTGATTTATCCTTTATTTGATTGATTTGGAGACTAAAAATACTGATTTAGCCTGCTCTAGTTTTATAAAAATAATGTCATCTTCCAACACTGCAATAAAAATGGTAATTAGCCACAAATAGAAGAGAATAATAAGGTGAAATGGAAATATTCTACATCAATGGGATTAACAGTTCTGTGAGTTGTGGGTAAAAACTAAATAGCTACAAGTAAATATAATACATCTTTTATTGTCATCGTCATTAACAAAAGACCTTATTAGTTTGTTCGTTTGTACAAATAGTTTAGTTCTTATTAAAACATAACATTTAAATTACAGCACAATATTTTTATGCTAACAAACATTTACAATGGCGGTAATCTATAATAGTACAACAGTTATAGCTAAAACATAACATTACAAGAAGAGTACAGAAAAGAGATAAAAAATCTTGTTTCCACAACTAGGTTAAAAATATAATCTATATAAATATCTGTAAATTGCTCGTACTAAATACTACCCAGTAACAGCTTCAGTCCTACAACCTGTAAACCCGCATGAATGAAACAGTCATGGAAATAAGATTTTTTAACGGAATAAAGCGTACAAAAAATAAATCGTCATTTGTCTGCGATTGATAATACTTACAAAAACAACTCTAACCTAAAGTTTGAACAAATATTTATAGTGTAAAAAACAGACTTTGTGTCTGCAAATATTAAAAAAGTAACGCTAAAATCAAGTAAATGGAAAAATAAGAATGTCTTAAGTGATCTTCAAACTTAAGTAAGAACTGAACACAATTGACTAAATTAGGTTATGCTTCCTTGGATTTATAAATATGAAATCAAAGCAGCAGGAAAACGAATGTTTGTGTGATTTAATCTTCTCCAGACAAACCTTATACCATGGATCCACACAAAACCCAAGTCAGGTCACAAAGTTTCTTTAGGAATGAAAAGAAAATGATCATTCCACACAAACAGCGCACTCTCTGCAACGTAAAAAAAATCCTAAACTTAAAGATCACTAAATTGTGGCAAAGACACTAAATTGGCAGTACTGGAAGCCAAGGGACAACTCTTTGGAATACATCTAATGGTTAAGATTAATTATTTTTATGGCACGAAGCGGTTAGTAACAATTACGTGAGGCAGTTCAATACTTTTAAATTCATTGTTTCTATGTCCATATCGCTTTCTACGGTATATAAGTAAACTACTAGTCAACAAAATGTAATAAATTAAACAATATGGATAAAAAAACAATAAACTATAAAAGGACCCTACACAAATAATGAACACAAATTGACTCGGAGGTTGATGATTATTTTCTAAAGCGTGACTCGCTTTTATTTTCCAACATCTCCTCTTCCAGCATCTTCTTCGTCTTCGTAATCGTCCGAACTGAGGACATAAATATGTTAAAAGTTTACTAATGAAAATAAACAAAATATAAATAATAATGACAAATAATACAACTAAAATAGCAATATTTACAACTAATAACCAATCTTGTAAAAATATGTGTTATTTCAGTTATCTGTATAGCTTGAATATTAACAATTTCTAACATTTGCACCAATCCCCTGAACCATCAGCAATATACAGTCAAACGTTAGGCTATAGTTCGGCAGCTTAGAAAACGACCTGCGCACTAATGCTAAACTGCTGGAGTAGGTCACTTTCTAAGCGGCCGAACTATAGTTAAATATCAAACAAAGAGAACCCTGTTGTAAAAATTACAAGAGAGTAAACAAAGGCAGAAAAAGATACGACTCTTGACATCTGACATTTCTTTTGGGGGTTTTTTACACTTAACTACTAAATATTTGCTTCATTACTTCATAAACCATTGCTTTTAAAAACTCCCAAGAAAAATTGTATCGTTAAAATAGATGTTAAAATATTTTATGGCACTCAGCACAAGGTAACTGGGGCATTATTTTTACCCATTCTCAACTGAATAAAATAATACATAGGTGTAACAAATATTATGAACTAGCCTAAACGTAGTCAATATAAAAAAAATGGGCGACTTTATTCCAAATATCACACAAAGAAACAAAACAAATAAATTGGTGGTAAAATATATATACATCGGACTTGTTTGCACTTTCAAAATGTCAAATTTCAAACTATCTATAGTCAAGTGTAAGATAAAAGCAAGTAAATCTCCAGAGTTTAAAAGTTGCATTTACTTATTTGGAGTACTAATTCCCAATCACATACTTTGACAGTATATTTATTGCTTTTATATAACAGAATTACCGTATCTGGTTAGTTAATCTACTCACCTTAACATGTTGGTCATACTTCCAACATAATATAATTCTATTTATTAAGTCAATATTCATTATAAACTATGAATTCCAATACAACTCACAATAAAATGTTAAGCAGATTTTATTTTATTGCTGTTTATGGGTCATTTGTACTTACCAGACCAAGCAAATAGGCATAGTCTCTTAAGCAATAAAATAAAATAACCAAACAACCCATAGAATATTATAAATTAGCGACTAACTAAGGACTACGAAAAATAACTGAGAGTACTTAATGTTGTAACCTGTATTAGTCGCCATTTAAGAATATTTTTATGGATTACAAAGTTTTTCATTCTTATGGTGTTTAAGATAAGTTGTTTATGTTATGTTATGTGTAAAGTCATATTAATTATAAATTTAACTTAAATTTACTGTCATAGAAATGGCTAAGAGAAAATAGACAAGGACGTTACTAAACGAGGAATGCCTTTGGGCACTTTTGTTTTGAGAACCCATAGCCATTGTTGTAATTAGGTGTTTGTTTAGGTGGTGGGTTGTGTGGGTAGTTTTGTTGTGGCGAGTTTTAGCAAAAACTAAAGAAGACGGAACCCATTTTGTAGGTTTTACTATCACTCGACGCTTCCTGTTAGTCCATGAGTAAGCATAAGGAACAAAATAAATATGTTAGTAAAATTAATGAATGCTCTTTGCTGGTAGCACCCAAATTGTTTAAAATATTACTCTTAAAACATACAAACCATATCAATGTTATATTTAAACATCAAATTATTAAACATATTCATACTTTGCGTTAGGACACTAAATCATTTTTACAACGGAGTTAACAATACTTGTTTTTAACACAAATAAATCTATAGAAAGTAGATAGTCAGTTTCTAGTTAAAACAGAAATTATGTCAATAATATTAATAATTTTTTCAGTGTTTACAACAGAAACTTGGTTTTCCAAAAGGTGATTTGTGAGTTGGAGTTTGCTAAAACTAGAGCTAATGTGACTGTTCAACAAAACTTCTTCCCCACATAGGCAATTAAGATAAGAATGGTCCTTTATGAACACATTTCAGAGATTTTGTTGAACAGTCATAACACCTCTAGTTTGAAGAATCTCCGACACACAAAACGCCATTTCTTGCTTAGTAGTAGCGTATTAAACAAATCTGTCAAGATCAATCAAGTAGCCAAACGTTGGTATTAAGAGATGTTTTAATCAAGGCAAATAGACAATCCAACTGGTTAGTTCTGTACCATTAAACATGTTGGATTTTGGCAATGGTGAGTCGTAGTTCGTAGTCATCTTGAAATAGACTGGCTATTTTTGAACTCACAAGGACATTATACTTAGTTAGCCTTCAAACCAAGCAATGTAACTTTTCACTATAGGTCGCCTCTGGTAGGCTGTTACTGTGACCATGCAGCCCTACAGTTCTCAAAGGCTTAGGCTTTATTGGTTGGTTAAATGTTTACCTTGGACATGGTAATGCATTTACAGAGCTGATCGCTTTCTCCGCAAAGTTGATGACCCCGGAGTCTTCGATCTGCAGGGAGTGTATACAGCCGACAAAGTTGGTTATGTTGCTGTTAGGCGCCATGTGCTCTATGTTGGGTAAACCACCTGCAAGACATTATTTTTTGTAAGAATAGAAAATAAAAAAGGCGATGAATTGATTACTATTACTAGAAGTTTTATTGCTTGCCCAAAAAGAACACGGAAATGTTTAGTGGGTATTTAAACATGTATTTGAATTAAAAATTTGCTTCAGCTCCATACAGATTAGTATATTGTCTACTATTGAAAATTCAACGGTTAAGACATGTAGTTCCACTGACCGACATAGATGTTTCCGGCGGTATTGAGTTGCGTCAGCAGTCCGCCGCTCTCACCAAACACTTGACTCTCTCGATCGAGTATCAACAAGCCGTCCTTGCCTTGCCGCTTGATGACTACGGAATGTCTTTCTCCATCGTCGACTCGCTGTGTGGACCTGATCACTGCAGGCCTGGAGCCCAGTTCATAACTGAGCTGTAAGTAGCCGTCTACCACTGTAACATGTGATGCAAAAGAGATCTTAAATTAATCAAAGTCTAAAGGAGTTGAGCCCTCTATGGAGTACAATGGCTGATTACAAAGAAATTTATTCATTTCCATCTTAAAATCTTCATCACTAAGTAGTCCTAGTAATCTAAGTAGTAATGATAACTTTTTATATGATGTAAATTTATTTTACGTTACAACTTAGTGTCATGACTGTACATCTCTGCTGTTTTCTATGTTATAAAATTGTGATCTTACATATAAAAGGCATTGCTCAATAAATTGGTAAAACAAAAAGTGTGAAGTAGTTTGACATTTATTACGACAGGTAAGATACAATTTTTTACTCAATTAAAAACTATTTGGTACATTAACATTCATCAATGAACACTGCAAATTAAGTGTGACGGCAACAGCTAAGTTACTCACCGGCGACTGACAAATAGTCTTGTCCTGTTCCATCCATTTGCGGTGTCTGGCCGTGCCATAGCAGCAGACCGTTTGCTTGTGATGTGGTAAACTCTATATTGATCTGTTCTGCTTTATCCGGATCGGTGTGCGGAAGCAAGTCTTTGCTCAGTTCTATGTAGCCATCCCCGTTGAATTGAACCTCTGTTCTGAACTCAATTCCTAAAAAGTAATTTTTATCTCATTAGTAATGTAAAGAATTTGTAAATTGCAGATTGGAAGGCCAGCTCTTATGTTAGTGATAGTTTAGCCAGCTTGAATGAGAAAATTAGAGGTAGAGTAGAGTTAGGGAACTGAGGCTAAGGCCCCTTCCTACAAGGGCAACAGTCTTACCAATGTAAAAAGAAGCACAACAGGTGTGTCTGCACTCCTTATTAAACTTACTAATGCTGTCAACTTCCACCCAAACCGGACACTGTTAAATTTAAGTTGTGCCCTCCAGGGCCACGTTAAGGGTCAGTGGAGCCCTGGGCAAACCCAAAAGCAGTGGCCCCATTTTTTCCTAGTGCGGGCAGGCGGTGGTTGAGGGGCGCCCCCAAACCTTGGGCACCCCTGGGCATATGCCCAGTCTGCCCATTTATAAAAGTGGGCCTAGGGCCCTCCACTCCAGCTAAGCAACACATTAGTAAGATCAATATGAATTGTACATGTACATGATTCGAACCCACGCATGTAAAAAGACCTCTACGCTACACTCATCAGTGCAACTTCTAAGCCAACTGAGCTACCATGCCACCGTCGGTCAAACGGGTCGTTTGCCACAATGAGCACGCAAATTTAAAGAGGTTGGTGATCTCCTCTTGAAGGTTTGATTCAACATACTTACTAGAGGGCTAGAGCGTTAGCAGTACGACTATCTCGCAGGAAAATGCTGTGACGAGCTACACATGTAAGTTGTCGGAACAGATTACTTACTCTCTGTACATGTAGGGCCTGCGTATCCGAAGGGGCAGTCACACTTGTACGAGCTTGGTGTTCCGACGCAAGATCCCCCATTTTGGCAAGGCTGTAGTACTGCACACATGTCTTGTTCAGTCTCGCAGTCCTCACCTCTATAAAATGAGAAAATAAGTGTGATAGTAAATATTTACATTGGATGATCTATCAATAGTAATGGGTAAAACGTAAATTAAAATCTGAAAACCATTTAAAATCTGGAATAGTTTCAAATTATAAATTTATTTGATGAGTTTCAAAAAATCAAGAGAAGGGCCAAAATTAAACGCTCCTGTCTTTAATAGAGAAGAGACATTTTAAGAACGGAGGGATTTTTACTATTTAGGCATGTAAATGTAGTACAATGCATTTAAGATGTTGTGGACACATGCCAATGCATGTATATTTTTTTACCGACAATAGAATAAAGAGTGATTACTGATTACTATATTTTTCTGGAAACCCTGCCCTTGATTGAATCTTTACTATTATTACACCGAAGGTATTTTCAAAGTAGCCTACTTTGAAACATTTTGTATACATTCTGTCAGTCTCTGTGAGTTTTCTTTTAACTGTTGTGTTTGATTTTTCATGATCATAACCAGACAAGTAAATATGGTTTCAGAGTGTAAATTTGAGTTTTAAACATTAGATCAAATAAACAATTTTCAAATGTAACTTACGTGTATCCAGTGGGACAGCTGCATTGGTAACTCTTGCCGTCAGGTAGAGTGTAGCAGACGCCGTTGTTCTGACAGGGTCTAAACTGACACGGATCTCCGTAGCCACTAGAGCATTGCTCAATGTTGGCCGAGTCAACCACCGACCGAATCAGATCCAGATTGAGACCAGAAACTTGTACCTGTCGGATGCATAAAGAAATTTAAAAAAAATTCTAATAATTTGTTTAAACCAAATGCTGTACCACATGCTTCAAATATAAAATAAAATCTGATAATATGTCATTAAATATACTAGCATGCTAGACTCTAGAAAAAACGTTCTGCACATTACTTCAGGCTAAGCCTAGAGGGTTGGGGTCAGTTAGATATAGCCATTAACAATTGGCTAAATTTTAACCCCAGACCTTGGGGATCGAACCCAACACTTCAGTACTAAACCAGCTTGCCCTTTTCTCATTAAATATTAGTAAGCCTGATAATCACTTTTAATGTTGAAATCCTCCCGAAAAATTGTGCCTTGAAATGTTCTAAATTTGTAACATGCATTCCAGACTTGATTACTGTATCTTAGAAAATTTTTCTGATGTTATAATTAACATTTAATATTCAATCTTTCTTGACACAAAACTACATCCCTAGTAACACCCATGATAAATCATTGGACGGCATACCTACGGTGTTTACTGACACTATAGCAAAGTTTAAAAAGCTATAAAGATCACTCGGGATGGAGCAAAGTTTTATCAACAATCCATGTGTGATAAAGTGGGATTTTTCAATATATTTAAGCGGGATACAATAAAATCTTCTCAACCTGGGAAGAAGCTGTTTTGATTGTGAAGTAACAAAGTAATGAAGTAAGTACTATTTGGACCATTCCCTTAAAAACCGTTGAAAATTGCATCAGGTAAACGCATTAAAAATAAATATCCAAAAAGAATTGTCACCTCAGCGATGCATCCGTGGAATCCCTGGCGGACACCGACCCCAACGGCCGGTCTTATCCTTGACTTGTCAAAGCCTCCAATGTACAACGGAGTTGTAAACTTGAACACTCCTGCGGACACACCCTTGGACACCGGTAAGTCTCCAGTCACAGACAGCTGCGCGTCCAAACCTGACAACCCTGCGTTGACCGTCACCCACTGACCGGGCACTATCTCTCGGATACTCTGCAGCGTGTTCACTCCTGCAATTGTAACAATGTTTGTACATTCAAATTTATAAATACAAGGTTGGTTTATGGAGGAATGAACAGAAGCATGAATAAATTGATGGAAAAATATCAATAACATGGTTAGTTGTGGTTGAATTTGAAATTGATTTAAACTTAGTTTTTTTACTTTTATTTACCCATATTTTAGCGTGAATTTGACATTGTGCAATTTAATCTTTACCTATAGCACCAGACATGCAATAGCTTGTAAATAAAAAACATTTGGTGAGAAAAGTTTAAAAATGATATAACATTTAGGGATGGACGAGATTGAATTTTTAGTTCGAGACGAGACGAGACGAGATTTTTTATTTCTCATAAAATTTCGAGACGAGATCGAGACGGGATTTCCCTTCTCATACACAACGGGAAATGCACGTTCGGAATTTTTACCTGATTTTGTAACATTGTTAGATGACTGTTTAAATACAAAAATAATGATAATAGGCAAGGATATTTACTATCTTTTATTAAAAAACATCAGCATAACATTTTTTTATTAATCACACCTAAATTATTAAAAATGCCTACGATTAGGAAACATAGTGATATCAGTTAAAAGAGTTCAACTTATCCTAAAATAAAATAAATCATAAAATAAAATATTAATTTTTATAAAATAGTTACTTGTTTTGACTTTTTTATAGTAATAAAACATTCCTCACACTGTTAACAACTTAACAAAACTTCTCAAATGTTATTAAAATAATTAAAGTAATATTTACATTTTTGAAGAATTAATTAAATAAGAACGCCTTCGCAAAGGAAACGCAACTACAACACGCTCCTGTATTGCGGGTATTGCATTGACTTTCTGCAGGCGTTTTTAATTTTTTTTTTTTTTTTTTTTTATTTTTTTATTCTCGTCTCGATAAAAATCTCGGCCAAAAAGAAATCTCGTCTCGTGTAACGAGATTTAAAATTTCCCGAAATTTCGAGACTTGAACATTAAATAAATAGTACGTTACATGAACATAAATATGCATTCAGCTCATATAAAATTATGATAAATTGATAAGATAGTACGTTCAATCTGAATCTATGCTGATACTTAGAAGCACTCTTTCTTACTTTCTGAAAACTACCTGCAAATTTGATGGACGTTCAAATTTGAAGTCTCTCCACTTACGATAACCATTTTAGAAGATGAAACAGTACATACCTGAACCAGAATCAAACTTGAACTCAAGTCGTCTGTCTCGGATGGATAGGGAGGCAAAGTCACCAACTCCGTCGTCATTTTCAGAACAGTACAGCAGTAGTCCGTTGGAGTCGTCTGTCGGGTTGAATTTGAGACTTATTTTGATCCTGAGAACAAACAATTTTGTTGTAAAAATCAAAGCTTCAAATCCAGTTCTAGTTATTAGGATGAAAATAATGCATCATTTGATGTTGAGTTGCACTTTTTGTAACCTACTTTTAATTTTTGTTGGATAAAATATAATTTTAGAAGGATTTTGGAATATTACACTTAACGAATAATACAATTATATTGAAATACTTAAAAGTGAAGGCAGCCATCCAATAAAGCGAAACGGGATCCGAACCACTATGTCAACAATAATAAAATGTTAAAAAGCCTCAGGTATCAGCTGGATTTTACCTGAGCCACCCAGACAATAGTATAACCCCTAGCAACACCCCACAATGAACATATTGATGTTTTAGGCCAAAACTCAGTTACGATAAGATTTTGGCCCAATGCATTACACAACACTTGAAAACATTTAACAAAGATTGCAGAAGTTCTATCAAAGTCCTAAGTAGTCAACCCAATCCATTTTTCAGCTCCTAGAGCTAACCTAACTAAAGATTAGTTTACAGAATTACTTACTTGTTTAGAGTCTTTGGCGTAGGGTATGCAAGGAAGGAGTTCTTGGCAAAGGCTGGCTCAGTGATGGAGACATCACGTTCACAGCGATCCCCGGCCTTGCCCATGCCGCAGTAACACTCGAGTCCGTCGTCCGTATCAATGCAGCGTCCCGAGCCGCAAGCACCTGGGTAGCACGGCTCACCCTCGTGAGAGCAGTTCAATCCACTAAATCCTCTCGGACACAGGCAAGTATATCCAGACTGTGATAGTAAAATGAAATCAGTACACAAATTAAACTAATTTCACATATACAAAAAAAACATAATGTAGTCTTCAGACAATAAAAATGGCTACATTTTCATAAGAACCTAAATTAAATGTCTACAATTGGGACACTACATGTAATAAATGTGGGGAGTCCAAGGAGATTGCTAATCTTTTACTTCACTGCTTATCTGTGAATGAGGTTATGAAGGAGACAATGGACAGGAAAAGCAAGCTTAACCTAAACATCGCAGACATCCCATTTCACAAAAGTAACAAAATAGAAAACAAAAAAAGGGATCAATTTGAATATTTCAAGCCCACTGTCCCCCTTTTCAACATTGGGACTTTGGGACTTGGGAGTCACTATATTCTGGATGACTTCCTTGTTTTTCCTTTGGGTTTTCTTTTGTGTTACTTTTGTGAAGTGGTATGTCTACAAATTTTAAGGTAAAGCTGCTTATCCTGTCCTTTGACACCTTCATTGTCAGGGAATAAGCCTCTTCTAATCAAATCTGAATGAGATAAGAAATACAGGGACAACCCTTTGCCTCAGGAAGAGCCCATGGACATCATACTGCAGTTCACCAAGCAACTCAAGTTTAACGGTTCTGAGATACTGAACGGAGATCGTAAAAGAAACTCATGCCTTTGACACCCTTGGTAGTGGTCCTCCCCAATCAATCAATCGTATACCCAAAATTTTGGTTCCTTTTAATGAAAAGAACACACTTGCATTAAGAGCTCACCCTCTCTAAACATATTGTTTACAACGTTACATTGGATTCACCTTGGTAGGAGCCTCTTGACACACGCCAGAGTTGACGCATGGGTTGACTGCACAAGTCTCACAAGTCGTAACTCCTTCTGCATCCTTCTTCTCCTGCATTATGTCAATCTCTTCTTTGTCGTTTATGACAAGTCGGCTGATACAACCTGATAAGAATGAAGAATATATAAGTTTGAGAGAGGTGAAAAGTTGATCAACGAAAACATTTTTGTTGCAAGGCCCAAAAGACAACAATAAATATGCCAACAATATACAGTATATGGAATAACTATGCCATATTATGTTTATTTACCGGAATTTAATTAATAATGACCAATTGGATCTCCAATTTAAAAAGAGTTTCTAATACAACTTTCAAAACACAAATTGTACTGATTTAAGGATAAATAGCCAAAAACCTTTATGCACATATTTTTATTCAAACTATAAATCAACAAAAGTTTTTCTGAAAAATTTCTAAAGATTTTGGATAAATAATATCTATAATAAACATTCTATTAGAGGCTCATGCAACTGTGTTCTGGGAGTAAAAACTGGATACAGCTGGTCTGTGTAGTGAGTGCTATTTATTGGGGGAGCAGGGTATCATGTCCTCCGAGATATTGGGCTTAAATCCCACCAATCAAATGAATTTAGCTTTGTGATAAGTAGTCCTTTAGGCCTAGCCGAATGAATGTGTAAATCGTTTCACTAGAGCCTATCGTTCTTGGATGTGGAAATAGGAAACTATCTATATCTATACAATCTATACAATTATATAAAAATCTAACGGTGTCTGTCTGTATGTGTGTTACTAATAGGTGCAGCAACTACTGAACCAACTGGGCTTAAATTTTACAAAAATGTAGCTACCATACCAAGGACCATTATAGGACTATTCAAATTTCGATACTGACCGTAGGCTTTGCCCCTTTGGCTTTAAAAGTCCTAAAGTGACCATTTTAAAAGTAAATATTGATTGGTCTCCATGGCTGTGATGAGAATACTAACAACGTTTGTTTACATTTGCTTTGACATTTAAATGTAAACAAGAAGAACTGCTAAACTGCATATTTCACAATTTCAGACAGCTGATACAAAGAAATTAAATATGATA